AGAAGAGGCTTCCCTTCTAGAGCTGAAGGGACTTCGGAAGGCACAGGAATCTTGCTCTTATGCCCACCTCTTCATACCACGCGTCTCGGTTCTGACTGCAGCGGGCAGCCTCTCACCTTCCACACCCCTTCCCACCCACACACTCCCACGTCCTCTTAGCTCTTTCCCATGGCAACACTTCATAAGCCAGGCACAGCGGCACATGCCTGTGAGCCCAGCTAGCCAGGAGGCTGAGGCAAGAAGCCCACACGTGTGAAGCCAGGCTGGGCAACTTCGTGAGGCTTTGTCTCCAAATAAAATTTAAAAGGGCTAGGATCTGTGGGACCCAGAGACGAGGCCCTGGGTTCAATTCTGAGCATGGGGAGCATAAAAACCCTCCATGCTTCCTATCTCACTGCAATACTGGATTTAGAGGAGTTTGTTAGAAGTGAGAATTTGACACAGTGGGGAATGGAGGACAGATCCAACTGCAGGTGACACAGAGGGAGCCCTTAATCAGTGTTTGCAGAATGAATGAATGATGTGTGGATGCTCTACTTTAATCTGATACACAAGGCAGCTCAGGATCGGAAATCAGGGGCTTGAGGCAGGATGGGTGAGTCGGTCCTGGACCGTTGGACCAGACCCTGCCCCAGGTTCATGGGCCACCTTTGAGAGGCTGAGATGTAAAACGCCAGCTGCAGGAGGCTGTCCTCTGGCCCCCAACATGGCCCCCAACACGTTGAATATAGACCAACAGAAGGGTAAGGCTGAGTCAGCAAAACAGCATTCCACTCTCAGCCTGTCACACCACATGCACTGATTTCTGAACCCCACTTCCCCTGCCGTCCACCAACTGGGTAGCAGCCGCGGGAGGAGGAGCCAGTGGACACTCACAGAAGGCATCCAGCACCTGGGGACCCTGAGCCCCGCCCCAGGTTCCTGCTCCAACTTTGCACTGGTCATTTTATAGGACACCCTACAGGTTCTGTTTTCTTCTAATGGATGATGCACATTCGTGTTTTCTTTGCAGTCAGCGAGCACTACTTCTGCAATAAGAAAAAATAAAATATTTTTAAATATCAGTAATCAAATGCAAGTGGAATAATATCCATGCCTGCCTAAAATTCTTCAGAGGCTTCGCATTGCTGTCACGTCTCAGTCCAAATGCTGCTTGGGGAGCCCCGTCTGCTCCTCCCATTCCTCCACAGACAGGGACTTGCCAGTCTTTCCCGAGCACCACACTCTCTTTGCCTCTCGACTTTCCCATGGCCCGACCACAGCTGGTCTCCCCGAAACGTAACACTGGTGCCTGGGGACTGCTGTTCTGCACCCCCCAGGGCCCTGCACATGGCCCCTGCCGGAGCCTTCGCCCCCACATGGGACCATCAGTGGACGCCAGGCTCTGTGGCTGAATAGCAGACTCCCCAGTACCTAGAGCACTGCCTGGCACTTAATAAATCCAGGTTAAATGGTGTTGGGAAAAAACCCCACTAATTCCCCTCAGCTGTTGGATTTAGAACAGTTCTTAGGGAGCATATATCCTATTTCTAACAGTAAGCTCTCTTCTAGAGAAGCAGAGCCAGGTTCTAAGCCAGGTCCTTTGCTGAATCGCTGTGTGACTCTTAGAAAATGTTTTCCTCACCAAGTGAAGTGGTGCATGTCTTCATCCCAGCACTCAGAAGGCTGAGGCAGGAGAATCACCATGAGTTCCGGACCAGCCTGGACTACATAGTAAGTTCAAGGCCACCCTGAACTACATAGAGAGATTCTGTCTGAAAAAACAAAAAACAAAAAAAGCTGTTTTGTCCTGTGCGTCTCTTTTCTGATTTTGCCCCCTCCTCCTTCTCCTGAGCACTGGTGGCTCCTAGATGCACTGACTGGTTTGGTAGATGAAATGGTGCAGAAGAAAACACGAGGTCTGATCTGCCCCTTGAACTTGCTGCCCACCGAGGTGAGGAGATCAGACTCACGTGGAGAGGAAGTGCTCCATGGAATGACACGGGGATCCCCTAGTGCTCAAAGTAGGAAGGAAGAAAGCCTGGGGGGACGCAGGGGCCCTGAAGGCTTAAGCTGCACAGGCAGAATTTGCCAAAGCAATGAGGACAAGGGACAGAATTGATTCTCCACACCCAAGTGACAGAGATGAGAGCCTGCTAGAGGCATGGCCAGGCCTCATCTTGGTCCCACCCAGCCTCTCGCTGGCCTCAGTTTCTCAGCCTTTCCAAACCGTTTTCCTTACCCCCACCGTGGGAACCTGAATGTTTGCTTGCAGGGCTTTGGTGAGGATTAAATGTATGTGGCAGTGTCTACCAAGACACCTGGTGCCACACAGGCCATTTTAGGGAATGCCACTTTCCCCTCCGCCTCTCCGCTTCCTGCAGTCTGACATGTCACTGGCCAGAACAACGCACATGCAGCTGGGGCTTGGGGATCAAAGGCTTTTTCCTGCCCTGTCAGTCTGTTCACTCCCATGTGACTTCCCCAGTGCCTTGTCCAAGCGCACACGTGCACACACACACACACACACACACACACTTCGTGTAAAGATCCAAGTGAAAGGAGAGACTGTTTCCCACCCCATGACCAGGGGGGGCCTCTTCCAAGCTGTCTGTTACCATCACCAAGGAAAACAAAGGAGCGACAGCCAGACCTGGCCTCGAGTTCTCCCTCCACCCTGGGACTTATAAGGCATGAGATTATGAGCCCAGGTGTCACTTTCTATGGGGCTGGAGGGAGAGGCTGCAATTAAGTTATAGAAAAAACCTATAAAATACCTTGGAACATTTTTTGAAACTATTGATATTTCTGTAAGCAAACAGAATGAAATCCGCACCGCACCAAGAGAAGAGTAGGGCAAGGCTGAGGGAGAGAGGGGAAGGCTGTTCATCTCAGTTCACCCCTGCTGATGATGGGTGAAGGCCAGGGAGGACTGAGAAGTAGCCCCCCAAGGAAACGCAGCATGACCACATTTATACAGCACCCTTGAGGAAAGAGCAGCAGAAGGCTCCCGTATGTGGAGCTTATTTCTTGAATGAAAGTCTTTAAAGTTGGACTTGAAATCTATGTAAATAGGGAAGAGTGGAAGAAGTGAAGGGAGCACAGGGAATGGGGAAAAAATAAGAACCAAGATCCATCATGTACAGGTACAAACACCCAATGAGAAATGTAAACGTATTGTGTACCTAAAATGTACCAATAAAAGAATAGGAAGAAAGGAAGAAAGGAAGAAAGAAAGCAAGAAAGAAGAAAGAAAGCAAGAAAGAAAGAAAGGAAGGAAAGAAGGAAGGAATAAAAGAAAGAAAGAAAGAAAAAGAAAGAAAGACAAGAAAAGAAAGAAAGAAAGAAAGAAAGAAAGAAAGAAAGAAAGAAAGAAAGAAGGAAAGAGGGAAAGAAAGAAAGTTAGTTGGACTTGAACAAGGGTATTAATCTTTGGGGAACTACAGGCCTTTCTGGGAGTCCAACACAGAAGCTAGGCCCTTCTGCTTTGGGAAATACAAATATACCCCAAATTCTCTTGTATAGCCGCAATACTCATGATCCCAGATTTTCTTAATGAACCTGATTTCTTTTTCTTTTCTCATCTTTTCCTTTCCTTCTTTCTTTCGTGTGTGTTGGGGGGTACTGGGGATTAAACCCAGGGCCTTCACACTGAGCTACACCCCCGGCACTTTTTTTTAATTTTAAGACAGGGTCTTGCCAAGTCTCTAAGTTGCCGGCCTGGGCTCACACTTGTGATCCTCCTGCCGCAGCCTCCCAGAGTGCTGGGGTTACAGGCATGCACCACCACGCTGGGTATCCCTAATGAAATATTTCTTAACAGCATTACCCAGTTTCCCGTCTTTGAGGCCTACCCATACCATTCACTGCATCTCCAGTTGGGAATGGAAATTAAACAGACTCTCAGCTCCACTGGGATCTCAGGGGCGGCTGAACAAGCCCTGGGGAGGGGTTGGACACTTGGAGCCACAGCGAGCTCTGTCGCTGTAGTGTCACAGTGACCCTGAGTCAGTCTTGCCTCTCTCTGACTTCAGTTTCTTCATTTGGAAAAAGAAAAGGTAGCGGATAGGGCAGGCTTCGGACTGGGACAGCAATCCCGGATCTGTGCTGGGTAGAAGGTTCAGCATCGTGTGCAGAACAAGTGTGCCATGGCCAAAATCCACCAGAGCACTGTCGCACTTGCTCTTCCTTCTTGGAAATCGCTAGCGCCTAGTCTCTGAGCAGTCTGCCACAAACAACGCGGCTGCGTGAGGTCATCTAGACTATTTCCCAAATGGCTTTCATCCTTGCAAACCTTTTGCCAGTGAAACAGCCGCACCTCAATCCCATCAGAGGAACGTTAATTCAGCACTGCCCAGAGGGGCAGCTGCCAGTCAGTGCAGCTCCTCCACATTTGCTAAACTTCCCCGAACAAATCAACACACTCCATCCAAAGTTACAGAGGGCAGGGATTACTGCAGACTGATCTGAACCCAGGGACCAGCAGCAGCGCTCTAGAATTCTTCTCGAAGCTTCCCTTCGCTGCTCGGGAATCGTTGTCTTTAAACAGAACGGTGTGAATGCTGACACCAGCTTTTTGTTTCTGTTTTTGTTCCTCGGACCTCTCTAGATCCGTAACTCTCAGACTATAGTGTGAGTAAGAATGACGGTACCCCTGGGGTCAATGGTCAAAATGGGGCTGCGACTTTATCTGTAACAGAGTCATTCTCTGAAAACACGAAGCACGTGCGACAGCATTAAGGGGATGATGAAAATGAGGGTATATGACATTAGTCTTTGAACTGTATTTTAAACTGTCTTCAAAAGAAACAATAACATTTAAACCACCTCAGTTCAGATGTGAATACATGAGGCATTTAGGGCTGCTCAGGGGTAATTATGTCCCATGTTTCTGCCTAACACAGACTTCCTTCCGTCCCCAGAGAAGATACCCACCGCCCAGTAAGCCCCTCCAGGAGGGCAGCTGGGACACACTTCCTCGGGAGTCTGAGCCCGCCTCCCCCTCCCTGTCCCCTTTGCAGGACTACAGAGTCAACATCTTCCTGCGGCAGCAGTGGAACGACCCCCGCCTGGCCTACAATGAATACCCCGATGACTCTCTGGACCTGGACCCGTCCATGCTGGACTCCATCTGGAAGCCTGACCTGTTCTTCGCCAACGAGAAGGGGGCCCACTTCCACGAGATCACCACAGACAACAAACTGCTGCGGATCTCCCGGAATGGGAATGTCCTCTACAGCATCAGGTGAGCTCTCCGCCCGGTCTTCCACTCCCTCCTCAGAACATGCCTTGCCCCATCGGCCTCTGAAGTAAACACCCAGGGAGAGACAAGACAAACTGGACAGGCCTGCAGCTCCACACCTTAGCAGAGTAGGAGTCCCAGCTCTGTAGCTTACACCCAACAAGTATGAATAAAATGCCACTAGGAGTTCTAGGAGTGAGGTTCATGGTAACCAAGGAGACCGGGGAAGGCAGTCTAGAGAGAGGAGTCTGAGTCATCCAGCGTCTCAGGAGGAGTCAAACATGATGACCAATAGCAAGGGCAAAGGCACCAAGCCTGGAAAATCACAGCAGCTCCCAAGGAGACAGGCCTGCCAGCTGGATGGTCCTGCTCACTGCTGTATGCCATGTCTGCTCCATCCCTTCTACAAACTCTTCTACTGCACACACCCTGCAGTGCACCCAGAGGCCAGACCCCCTCCCAGCTATGGGTTATGCAGACCCTGGTGAGGCACGGCTTTCAGTCTCCCGCCACCCCTCCCCATCTAGGTCCTAATCACCTCCCCAGGGTTGTGGAGACAATGACCGAGTCCACGACTGAAGAAGTGGCCTCACATATGCACAGCAACAGCATGCATTGCATTCACTGAGGAGTCACTGGCTCTGCTGGGTGCATTTCATGGATTGTATCTCCTCCTTCTAGCCCCAGGAAGTAGGGGAGTTTTTTTGTTTTGTTTTGTTTTGTTTCTGGTACTAGGGATTGAACTCAGGACCTTGTACTTGCGAGGCAGGCGACATAACCACTGAGCTAAATCCCTGGCCCAGGAAGTAGGTTTTATTGTGCTCAACTTGCAGATTAGGCCAGTGAAGATCTATCTGGAAATGTAAGTAACTCACCACAGTTGCCATAGTTAGCTCAGAACCTAGATCTAATCTGTGTTCTGTGGACCTGAGGCCATCCATGGCAAAGCCTAGGACAGGGCGTGGCATTCGAGAGGCACGCAAATATTTGATGAATGAATGTATTTTCAATTCGAAAAGCTTAAAACACCACTGCCCCTAAACAACTGCGCTGTCCCATTTGGTTCCTCAGGGAAATGAATCTTATTTCCATCGGCTGATCCATCTCCATAGGAGATGAACCTTAAATATCCAGGGCTTGGAAGAAGCCCTGCTGACCCTAACCCTCAGGTGTGGCTGTGCTCAGCCAAGCAGGCTGGGGAGGAGGGAGCGTCGAAACAACTCTGCTTGGGTTTCGCTGCTAGCTGGATAGTTTCCTATCTTCACGAAGCTTAGTCCCAGTGCAGCATGATAGAAGGACACATCAGCAGAAAGCAATGTTCCCAAGGTTATTCACCTTCCGGAAATTAAGCCAGGGTGACAGCTGCCCCACTTTGGAGCCTTTATCTTCAAAAATTCAGTCTCATTCACTCCCTTCACTTGTCCCCTCCTTCTGCTCCTCCCTTCTCTCTTCTTTTCCTCCCTCTTCCTCCTCCCACCCCCTACCCTGGCTTACTTCTACTTTTAGGTTAAGCTGCCCACAGCCAGAGCTGCTGGTGAGAGCCGCAGGGGGGATTCATCAAGGGCCCAGTACGACCAAGGTGCCAGCAGCCAGGTTCCAGCAGAGCAGCACCAGTTAGGGGCCCTGGGGCACGAGATTGGCCTGGCAGAGCTCAGTTCCTGCCAGCAAACTAGTAAGGCAACCCCACTGGGCCTCGGGATCCACACGCTAGGAGACAGGTTTCTGAATCCTGGCTGGGCCGACAGCTTGCTGGGTGACTTCAAACAAGCCCCAACCTCCCCACTCTGCACCCCAGCATCCCCACTATCAGAGCAGGGAGCCAGCCTGGCGACCCGAGAGCCTTTCTTCTCCCTGCCCTGCAGCAGGTGCTCTGATGTGGGTAAAGCCTTTCAAGCTGGAGCCTTGTATCCCAGCCTGAGCTATAGGCCTTGGATTCTGCCAGCAGAACTCCCTCTGGCCCCCAGGCTGCAGCCTATGCAAGGGTTGATCAAACCAAAATAAACAGTCATCCCAGAATCCTGGGGAGCCCGGCACTTTCCTTCTTACTCTGGCAGGACCCCAGATGTGAGTACACGGTGTGGATGCCCAGCAATCAGGGGCCTCTGGAATGACTTCTGAGGAACCCAGGACCTGCTGCAGTGCACCTTGGGTGCCTGAGGCCTGGTGCAGCTCAGCTGAAAGGCCCAGCAGTGTCTACCTGAGGGCTCTTCAGAAGGCCGCGTCGGTGCAGCCCCTGGCCCCCAGCAACCTGCTAGGGACAGGTCTGAGAAGCCCAGAAGCCCCCTGACTTTTGTGACTTTAGGCAACATACTGCACCTTGCTGAGCCTCCGTTTCCACCCCAGGGACTCAAGAATGTTCATTGATTTCTCAGTAAACACTCGCTGTCTGGCCTCCTTTCCCTATCCTGGACAACTGGTGTTCTGGCCACAACCAGAACAGAGCCCAGCTTCCCTGCATCCAACACCACCCAACTCTCTTCTCTTCCCAGGATCACGCTGACACTGGCCTGCCCCATGGACCTGAAGAATTTCCCCATGGATGTCCAGACCTGTATCATGCAACTGGAAAGCTGTGAGTGCCTGCATTAGTCCTCCTACAGAGTCAAGCTCCCACTTACCTGTGGGACCAGCAGGATCTCCCTGATAGCTGAACCCAGGGGATTGTTGTGATAACTCAAACTCTAGATGAGGGCTTTGCTCTTAGAAAATGCTTTAGAAACGTAATGCTCATTACGCTGCCTGGCTGAGGCCCAACCTTTGGAGTCAGCAGCATTCTCCAAAGAGGCCTTGCTCCATGTCCCTGTGAGTGTGCTCACCAGAAACGGGGGCGTTGGCCTGAATAGGCCAAGGTCCCTGAGCCCCGGAATGTGGATGCTCGGCTCGGCTCAGCACAGGAGGTAGGCAACTGGCTGCACAAACCATTCTGGGGGAGCGAGTGGTAAGCGTGTTGTCAGAAATAGAAAATGCTACAGCCTCAAAGGAGCGCTTCCTTCCAATGGGGAACAGCAGGACCCAGAGAAGGTTTTGTGGCAGCCCAGGGTTTGAACATGTGGGATAGCCGGTCTTTCAGGGCAACCGCAGAAGTCTCACTAACTTAAAAGTACAGGAAACAGACCCAAGCAGCTAGGCGGCAGGAATTAGCAGAGCCTTCTCTTGGGCCCCTCAGGGGAGTCGGCAGCAGGCAATTCTGAGCCTCACCTCCCTTCTCTCAAGCATCCAAGTCCTAGGGCAGAGTCTCACTGCCCTCACGGCGTCACCATCGCACAGCTCGAGCTGCTCCCAGCAGTTCGTCCACCGAGGCAGCGTGTGATAGAGTTGCTCCCCAGAGCCGTTCTCCAACAAAGGTGGTCGGCAAGGATGGCGTGCAGGCGGAAGCAGCAGCTCTCCACTCGGTTTCACACGGGGGTGAGCAACAGGCAGCAAGACGAGCTCAGGCAGGGTGTGGAAGGCCGGGAAGAGACGGAGAGGGCTGAGGGGTCGGCGTAAACGGGGAAACCAGTTGTGAGCTCTCTTGTGAGGATAATTTACAGAGGGCACCGGGCTCTCCGGAGCGCCATCCTCAGCCTCTGAGCCCGACATGCCTCACACAAGCACCCCTGGGTGGTGACTGCAACCTCTTCTGACCCCTCCAGTTGGATACACCATGAATGACCTCATCTTTGAGTGGCAGGAGCAGGGAGCTGTGCAGGTGGCAGACGGACTAACCCTGCCTCAGTTTATCCTGAAGGAAGAGAAGGACCTGCGGTACTGCACCAAGCACTACAACACAGGTGGGTATGCGTAGCCTCGCTCCTCGGATGAGGCCCGGCCAGGACCGGTTATTCACAGAGCTTACAAAGCGCCCAGGATGGGCACAGCTCTCCATGTATCACCCCGTGGGTAAGAGACGAGATTTCAGAACCAAAAACGAGCTCTGGAATGTTCTCCTGTGAGTCCTGGAGTGAGCAGCTTAAGCCTAGGCCATAGGTGACTACCAGGGAAGCTGGTGAATGTCCTCTATCCCGTAGCAGAGGGCACCTGTGTCTATGGCCGCAGGGAAGGGCAGTCTGTCACCCGGGCACTGCATCCTGATGGGGTAAGGTACAGGCAGTGTGGCCATTAGGCCTCATAAGCAGAGCCCAGAGGCAGCAGCTAAGATCTGGAAACCACTGGACAGAGTGCACCAGGCTGAAAACCACCCTGCATGCACACAGTCCCGCACCCCCGAGACCAGCACGGCCTCTGCCCGGAGATGGCACGCGACAGTGAGCTGGGCTCGGACCAGGATGGGCATGGAGTGGCCTGTCTCAGGCCAGGAGCCGGCGGAGAGGAGCACTGCAGGAGGGAGTCGGGAGGCCCAGCTGAGTAGAGGAGGAGAGGCGGGCAGAAGGCTGACAAGAGCCGGAGAGAGGAGGCGAGAGAGCGGCTGAGGCACCACTGCAGGCCCCGTGCAGGCAGAAGCGCAGGTGAAAGGCGGCCTGGCCTCGGGGCTGTCCAGGACAGCGGCCCCTTTCCCGCTCACCTCAGAGAAGGCTCAGAACCTCAAAAGACACCACCTCCCTCCCTGTGCAAACTGAGTCAGGGAGAGAATGGACTCCCGTTAGCAGCCATGAGCAGTGACTCCCCCTCTGGTAATCACAGCTGCCCCTCTTGGACCCCAGCCCTTTAGCATCTCTGTCTCATTTTTCTAATTTCCTTTTCTGACATGCTACCACCAAATAAAATATAAACTTGTACCTACTGAAGATGTACAACCTGATATTTTGATTTGCAGACACATTGTGGTGAAACAGTCACCACGAACTGCATACAGCAGCACACACCATGACCCCAGGGCTCAGGGGGCTGTGGCGGGAAGATCTCAAGTTCAAGGCCAGCCTGAGCAACTTTAGTGAGACCTTAATAAATAAATAAGTAGGGCTGGGGTTGTAGTTCAGAGGGAAGGCCCTGGATTCAATCCCCAGTGTCCTTAGTCACTTTCTTCATCACTGAGACGAAATACCCAACACCCATACCTTGAAGAGCAGGTTTGGAGGTTTAACCCGGGGATTTAGCTCAGTGGTGCCGCCGCCTGCCTCGCAAATGCAGGGTCCTGAGTTTGATCCCCAGTACCAAAGAAAAAAAAGAAGAGGCGGTTTAGTCTGGCTCATGTTTTAGAAGCTGCACGGTTGGCGGCATGCTGGAAGGGGCTGGGCGGAGGAAAGCTGCTCACCTCATGGTGAACAGGAAGCAAACAGCTGCGAAGGGAAGAGGTGGGGAGGAGGAGGCCCTCTTCCGGTCACACCCCCGGTGACCAACCCCTAACGACCAGACCCTGCCTAGCAGCAAGGCAGCTATAATGCCCCCAATCCAATCACCTTCCAAACATGAGGCTTTGGGGTAATGATCAGGGTGAAGAAAGAAGGGAAACGGTCAGAAAGACAGGTTAGAGCTCAAGTGATGAAGGGCAGACTAAAGAATCTGAACTTCTTCTGTAGGTAATACAAACCTCCTCGTCTAAGGAGAGAAGAAAGGAATGAAAGGTTTTACAAGAGGCGACAGGATCAAGTCATGTTTGGGGAGACAGCTGGCAGAAGGGTGGAGGGAGCTGCTTACCTCTCACTTAGCATTAAAACAGTGATGAGGAAGGTGGCATGCTGGTGGCAAGTGCCAACCCGAGCATTTATGATATGTGAGGTTCTGGCTAAGCTCTTCAGGAGCATCATCTCATTCTGTCTTCCACAGAGCCAAACGAGTAACCACGTGAGACAGGGTCTCCCTGTGCAGTTCAGCCTGGCCTTGAACTCACTATGCAGCCCAGGCTGGCCTCAGACTCAAAGCAATCCTCTTGCCTCAGTCTCCTGAGTTGGGATGACAGGGGTGCACCACCACGCCCAGCAGATACAGTATTCTTTCTGCATATTTTCTACTTACAGTTGGTGGCACCCATGGATGCAGATCCCAGGGATACAGAGAGCCAACCGAGTTATCCTTGGTTACACAGATGAGGAGACTGAGATAGAGAGGGACTCAGAACTCACCCCTTGGGAGGCTGCCCCAGACTCCAGCTGCAGCCATCTGGGAATTAAACCTTTGCTCCCATCCACCAGGCTACGACTCCTTCTCATGTCCCTTCTTGCAGGTAAATTCACCTGCATCGAGGCGCGGTTCCACCTGGAGCGGCAGATGGGCTACTACCTGATCCAGATGTACATCCCCAGCCTGCTCATCGTCATCCTGTCCTGGATCTCCTTCTGGATCAACATGGATGCGGCGCCCGCCCGCGTGGGCCTGGGCATCACCACTGTGCTCACCATGACCACCCAGAGCTCCGGCTCCCGAGCATCCCTGCCCAAGGTGAGCACCGAGGTGGCGCAGGAACTCGGAGTGCAGGTCTGGCTTTCCAACCTATCCGCCTTCCACTCGACATTCCATTCTGCTGCGCTCTCTAGCAGCACTGGGCACACATTTGGCTTCATTTACTATTAAAACGTCACATAAACAAAACAAAGCAATGTTTTTTAACTGCCTGCCGCAGTGGCATATTCATGCAGTCCCACCCACTTAGGAGGCTGAGGCAGAAGGATTCCTTGAGTCTAGGAACTCAAAGGCAGCCTGGGCACCATAGCAAGACCGTCTCAAGGAAAACAACAACCAAAAATCGTTAAAACTCAACTTCTCAACTTCGCAATGTCCTCCATTGTCCTTTTCAAGTTAAGGACAGCATTCTGCTTTTCACCATTAATGGTCAATACCACTGTGACCACAGTCACTTTCAGAGATTTGATACAAGAATCCGTAGGGTTCAGCATGGATTTGTACCCACAGTGAGGTGTGCTGTGGCAGTTCAGTAAGAATGCATGGTTAGATAACAAGGCAAAGGGCACAGGATGTACCCATGTACTGCTTTCTTCCTCTTCCCCTGCCATGAGGAGTCGCAGAGAGCTCAGAGGCTCCCCCACAGAATGCAGGCGCATGGTGAGCGATGTCTCTGCCCACACGGGCTGGGCAGAGACTCATGAGAAACTCAGCGCCCAAAGTTCTACTTAGGGGCTGGCAGGTACCAAAATTCCAGACCTGCAGACGGAAGGCAGATGTCCAGCATGAAGCACGTCTCTGGCACAAGCAGTCCAGGCAGTGAGCCTCCCTCGCGGTGCGAAAAGTGGGGACAACCCCTCAGCCCCGTCACCAGGTACCAGCCAAGGGTCAGCCTTGCAGGCAGTTCTTTCTTGGGACAGCACTCGCATGCCTTTTCTGAACACACTTCAATCCGTCTTTACATTTCAATCCGCATTCACTATTAACTCGCAAAGCACGTCTGCTCCGTTCGCCATAGACACCGCATCTTGCTCCACTCACCCTATGCTGGACACATTCTGGTCCATCCACTTCGGATAGCAGCCGTTACTGTGTTTCCTTCAGCCACCTAACTGAATGCAGCATGCTCTTCCTCACTGCCAACACCAGCCCTCCCGTTCTGCTAATCCACCTTGAGCACTAGACCTGCTGCTCTGCTTCATTCGCTGTCAGTGTCTTCTCCATTCACCCCAGCTGAGGCCCAGCCTCCTGCTCCCTTCCCTGGCGATGTCTGATGCTACGCCTTCTTTTCTGTCTTCAGCTCCGGGCACACTTTCCACCACACTCACTGTTTACCCTCGGAAACACATTCTGCTCTGCTCGCCGAGCACCAGACACCACATTCTGCTCCACCGTCCGTGCCAGACCCCGCCCTGCTTGCGTGGGCCTCGCGCTCAGCACAGTCTTTGCGCCATTTCCAATCCGCGCTGCATCTCACATTCTGCTTCCATCCAGAAAAGTTGAACGGAAATAGAACAAACACTCTGAGATCCCTCACCTACTTGTACCGTTTGTTATCATTTTACATGTATTTTCTCTGCCAGTAGATAGATGATAGGGGTGGGGGATTTAGCTCAGTGGTTTTGCCGCCTGCCGCGCAAGCACAAGGACCCGAGTTCGATCCCCAGTACCAAAAAAAAAAAAATAGATAGATGATACATAGATACTAGGAGATGCAGTTTGTGATGAAGCCTTTTAAGGCTACACAGACATCATGACACTTCACATCAAAATAAAGAAGAAGGATCACAATGACATTTCACATCTAAATAATTACCATTAATTCAACAATAATTGTTGAATTAGAAGTAATTGAATTAAAAATAATTCAGTACAATATAGAACCTACTTGGAGAGCTGGGGATTTAGCTCAGTGGCTCTGTGCCTGCCTTGCAAGCGCGAGGTCCTGAGTTTGATCCCTGGTATTGGAAAAAACAAATTTTCCCTATTTGTCAAAAAATGCAAATCGAGGCTCCCCTTCACGTTACATATGGTTGGTCTGTTTTGTCTCTTTCAGTCTGTACGCTGTTTTTTTGTTCTGCATGACACTGACTGTCCCATTAACATTTAATATGAAACTGACATTCTGTTTCATTTGCCATCGGCAGTAGATAATACGCTCTCCTCTAGTCACACTTTCAATGAAACTCAGAAACATGTTCTTTCATCAACCCCAGACCTCAGGTTCTGCTACATTCACTATAAAAATGCATGAAACCAGTCCCCGATTACCATAAACACCTGACAACACATTCTTCTCTGTCCGACGGTAACAGCAGACATAATATTCTATTGTCTTTTTTGTGCTAGACTCGACATTCTGTTCCATTCAAGGTTAACACTAGACTAAATGTTTGCCATCATTTGTTATTAACACTCCACATTCTGTTTCATTCACTTTTTTATTCATTCGCTCTTTTTAAAGCAAAGCCTCTTTTCAGAGTCTTTGGTATGTTCAAAAAATTGTACAGCCCTATCTACACAACTATCTACAGATAGCATCCAATTCCAGAACATTTTCATCACTCCAAGAAGAAATCTTATATTTATTGAAAGTCACTCCTTCCCTCCTCCCACCAGCCAACAAAAAACATGAATAGATATTGTCTGAATGGATTTGCCTATTCTGAACATCTGGAATTGTGCAATTTGTGGTCTTTCATGATTGGCTTCTTTGAATTACCATAACATTTCAAGGTTCATCTATGTTGTAAAATGCATTCATATTTCATTCCTTTTTATACCTGAATAATATCCCATTGTATGGATCTATGACATTTTGTTTAGCTAGTCAGCAAGATATTTGGAAGACATTTGGGTTATTTCCACGTTTTGGCTGTTATAAATAATATATTAATCACTTTTTGGTTGCTGGGACAAAATACTCAATACCTGCAATTTAAAGGAGGAGAAGTTTATTTTGGCTCATGATTGTAGAGGATTCAGTCTACAGACAGCTGGCTCCAAGGCAGAAATACCATGACAGAAGGACTTGGAGGAAAGCTGCTCAACGAATGGCAACCAGGAAGCAGAGAGAGGAGGAGGGGTGGAGACAAGACACACCCTTCCGGTCACACACCCAGTGAGCCACCACTTCCAGCGAGGCCTCCCCTCCTGACAACTAATTCAGCTATGTGCTCATCCACTGGTGCATACAGCACCCCATAATCCACTCACTTTTTAAAGTCCCATTTCTGAGCTGGCATAGTGGTGCCTGCCTATAATCTCAGCATTCACAGAAGCTGAGACATGAGGATTGCAGGTCCAAGCACAGCCTACGCACTTTAGTGACTTAGTGAGACCCTGTCTCAAAATTTAAAAATTGAAAAAGACTGGAGGCATACCTCAGTGTGAAGGCCCAGGGATCAAGCTACAGGATTAGAATTTTTTTTTTAAGCTCTACCTTTGAACTCATTAGATTTAAGGGGGACATCTTAGATCTAGGCCATAACATTTTACCCCTGGCCCCCAAAAGGCTCATGTCCATCTCATCATATAAAATAAATTTAGGTCATCGCTAAGAGTTGCCAAAGCCTTAACAGTTTCGGTGCTGCTGAGAAGTTTAAGTCCAAAGCCTCTTCCGAGAGTCACAGCAAACCCTTAGCTGTGAGCCCCTGTAAAAATCAAAAAGAACATTAAAGCTAGGTGTGGTAGGCCACGCCTGTAATCCCAGGACTCTGGGAGGCTGGTGTGGGAAGAAAGGCCCTGGGAGAAGAGAGAGAGACAGAGACAGAGACAAACTTTCAACATACAGGGGCACGGAGTAATTCTTTTCATAAGTATTTCTAGTTTAAAACAGGGATGGGGAATAGAAAGGAATCAGACCAAAGCAAGACCGAACACCAGCAGGGGAAATGTTAAATCCTATGGCTCCACGGCCAGCATCCAGGACAGGTGGTGGAAGATGTGGCTCGGGGCTGGGCGGCCCCACCTCCAGGCCTGCTGGTGGTAGTGGCCCAAGGGACCTCTCTCCTGGCTGGCTCTGCTCGCTGTCTGGTGTTGTGGTTTTTAGCAGGTGTTTTACATTTCTGGCATCTCCAGCTTTGAAAATGTTCTAAAACTATGAAGATGGTCATACGTATCCATGGATATTATAAAAGGCATTGAAATATACATCTTAAAAAATATATATATACATCTTAAATGTGTAAATTGTGCACAACAAATATGTGCAACATTCTCTCACCTAAAACAGTGCATTCTATTCTACTCAATGATAACGTTAGACTCACCATGCTTCTCTCTTTAGTACTCTTCTACATACCAGTCAGTGTTCCCAACCTTCTATACGGGCTATTTGATGTATTTGAAGAGCATCTCACCACACGCATAAAGGATTATGTTCTAAGACCCTATGCATGCCTGAAGCCCTTCATGTAGTATGTTTTCCCCACCTATTACAACAGCACAGGTAGATTTGTTCTTATTGTAGATCTTAGCAACCGTGGCATCCAACTCTTTTTTTTTTTTCTTTTTCTTCTTAAATTGAGAACTTCCACCTTTTCACATAGGGATCCACACTGTACAGCCTCTCATTGGCATATCCAAATTTCACTATCACTACTCTGGCACTTTGGGTCATTACTGAGTAAAGTAAGAGTTACTTGAACACAACCATTGCAATATCTGAACATTCACTCTGACAACCCAGCAGCCTGCTGAGTGAGCAGGAGGGGGACAGCATCTACAATGGGATACGATGAACAAAGGGATGATTCACTCAGGGCTGGATGCAGCCGGACACAAGATTTCATCACACTAACGAGAATGGACGCGATGGTAAATGTTACATTGCGGAGTTTTCCATCAGTGTTTTAGGACTGTGATTGGCCACAGGTAACAGAAAGCCCAGAGAGCGGAGGCACGGGTATGGAAGCAGGGCTGAATCCCACTCACCTGTGTCTCCCTCGCCCTCCTCTCCCTCCAGGTGTCCTACGTGAAAGCCATTGACATTTGGATGGCAGTGTGCCTGCTGTTTGTGTTCTCGGCCCTACTAGAATACGCCGCTGTCAACTTCGTGTCTCGGCAACACAAGGAGCTGCTGAGATTCCGGAGGAAGCGGCGACATCACAAGGTAGGCCTGTGGGTCACTGCCCACGGGGGGCGGTGGGCTGGGTGGCATGTCCTCGGCTGCCTTGCCTTCTGACGCTCGCTTCCTGGGCTCCTTACTGCTTGTGGTACTTTTGTGGGCGCAGCAGGTGAGAACTAGGGAGGAAAGTGTTTGAGATCTTCGTCCCTCCCATCCATGATGACCTAGTTGGGTGTGTAGGAGTCCCTCCTACAACCATGCCAGCAGCTGCAGGAAATACCAGGTTACACCTAAAGGCAGAACAAATGAGGCAAATGCTGACGGATCGAGAAAATAACCACCTGGACATCCAACAGATGTCAGCAGGGAGCTGTCTGTGGGGTTGAGGGGAGGGGAAGTATTACTATTCGTCATGACTTCTTTTTTGAACGCCTGCATTATTTTAACGGGCCTGGTTCCAGGAGGAAAAGGCACCACAGAAGGTGAGATCTTCAAATAGGATGTCCACGTTCCAAGCCTTTATTTTCTGCTCCCAGGAAAGGGACAGAAGCAGGACCCTCCCCTAAGGGCTGTCTCACCTGATGAGGGATTGAATGACAGCACTTGGCAGGTGGTCTCTGCCAAGTCACCAGTATCTGTCACCTCAGAGGCTGTGGGCCACTCAAAATAGGCCACCATAGGGGCCCGGGATTTAGCTCAGTGGTTCCGCCCCGCCACCTGCCTCGCAAGTGCAAGGTCCTGAGTTCGATCCCCAGTACCAAAAAAAAAAAGCAGACTGTTGGAACAAACCCTACCTGGTTCTTTCATTTTGTTCTGTTGTTTCGTGGAGACAGTCTTACTAAATAGCCCAGGCTGCCTTGAGCTTGCAATCCTCCTGCCTCTCAGTGCCGTGCCGGGATTATAGGCGTGTGCCGCCACGCCTGGTTTCCATGGCCTGTATCTTAGCTAATTTCTCAAAGACCTTTCTCCTGGGGCTAGGAGAGCCCGCTTTCCTCATTAGCCTCCACTCCACAGCGCTTCCCTGGGCTAGCCAAGCACCCACACACCCGCACTGTTCTTAGCTCCTCCCACGACGGGCCTTCAGACCCCTTGTCCTCTCTTCCCGGCTGGCTCTTCCTGCGTACATTGCTCAGTGTCAGTCCCCTGGCTCTCCAGCTCCCGGCTGAAGCTCCTTCACTAAGGCTTTCCCGCGAGTCTGTCAAGCACATTTGTGCAGGCTGTGTCTTACAAAGGCCTCCCTAAGTCGGCCCCGGCTTGGGACTGCACCCACCCAGAGGAGGGTTCCAATCCGCATGCCTGGGGCCGGGGATTTAGCTCAGTGGTTCTGCCGTCTGCCCCCGCAAGCCCCCCCGCAAGCACAAGGACCTGGGTTCAATCCCCGGTACCAAAAAAAACACCAATCCGCATGCCTGGAGAAGGGGATGAACACAAGGTGGGGTGCGGCTAGCAAAGGCCGTGTTCCAACTGAACTTGATGTCTGGCCCTCTAAACAGGACCTTGATTTACAGTTATGTGTTCAATCCCTGAATCATGAGGTCCACAGCTCCATGCCCAACATGCACTAGGCACTGCCAAACATACAAACGGGCTAAACAAACTGATGAGGAAAGGGGAGCCTGCCCTAAAATCTCTCTGGCAATAGGCCGGGGTGACCAAAGACCCATGCACTGTGACCTGTCAGGCAGGTCACACCCACAGCTGTGACATAGCGAGGTCCTCCAACCTTCAGATGGACCTATTTAAAATGGGTGTCCACCCAGCCATTGTATGGCGACAAAGGACTCTGTCTCCTCAGCTCGCTTTGGTATATGAGTGCAAGGTCACTCTTTCTGGACTCAGTTTCTCCATCCATAAAACAGACTTAATAGGCCTAACTGGGCACTGAGTTAAGGATTAGATCAGGGCCTATGAAAGTAGCTGATACACAAGCACCAAGAAATGAAATGATTACATCTACACAATTTCCATCCATACACTTCCTCAACATCAGCGACATGATCCTGTTCACTTCTGTCCGTTTTCCATGGGGAGGAGGCAAGTCTTCCGGGGCGGAAGACGTCCGTGGGAGTTAAGCGGCAGCACCCGGCAAGGGAAGACTTGGGTGCAGCCAGCCAGACAGGCCTTCTGAAGGGACCTCTAGTGTGAGTCCTGCCCTTCTGCCCACTAGACCCACCCCACCCTTGACTCAAAAAGCAACAATAAACGGAGCAAGAAACTGACCAAATACAGCCATCTCTGGTATTCATTTTTATGCCACCCTTCTCCTCCCCTGAGGACTAGCTGCTTGTGCCATTTCCCGCTACCAGTGACGTTAGCTGGAAACACTTTTTGGGGAAGACTGTCCGCGGTATGGGACTAGCACCAGCTGTTTCTCCACCACCGCTACCCAGCAGGTACTTGGGAGGCTGAGGTAGGAGGAGCACAGTTAGAGGAGAGAGGGAAAAAGAGACTAGGGAATGTAGCAAAGGTAGAGCGCTGGTCCGGCATAGGGGAGGCCCGGGTGCAACCCCCAGGACCGAGAAGAGAACGCACCGCCTCCAGCACGCTGCTGTCGGTGTCTTCAGGCAGAGCAGGCTGCTCCGTTTTCCAGCCGCTCCTAAGCAGAGACGCTGTCCAGCCCCGCTCGCTTCATGCCTTACACCTCTCCTCCCCTCCGCTGGTGCACGTGTGAATTAACGTGAGCTCAACCACAAGGACACGGAGTTGGGCTGGCCACAGTTTCCCTCGGAGTAAGCCATGCTGAGCGTGGCTGGGACAGTGCAGGTGTGCAAGGCTGGCTGCAGCAGCTTTCCTCCCGGGAGGTTTGCGCAGGGACTTGAGGCCCCAGGCAGTGAGAGGAGAGGGGGTCGCAACGCTCCCCAATTTCTCCTCACAACTGTGATCTCGGCCAGAATCCCCAGCTCCCGCCATTCTCCCATGTCACCTCATTGGTTGGACAGAAGGCATCTGGGCTTCCAATTCCCTGGCCGGCCTCATTGGGCAGGTTACTGAGGCACCTCTGTGAGCCCTAGGCAGGCGGCAGGCGCACCAGCAGCCTCCCTGCGTTCCGAGTTCACCACCAGTTTGTGCAGCCCGTCCAGGCGCAGATGAGCTTGTGTTTCCTGCCACCTGCTGGTCGCAACGGCAATAGCAGGCTGTCGTTCCTGGGGAATGTCATTTCCCCCAAACCGCCCTGGGCTCAAACCTCTGTTCCTTCTACTCCAGTGTTTGACCCGAGGAAGGTAGGGAACAGTTTACCTGGATCTGCATAGAAAGTTAGTAGAGGGCTTCTCCTGCATAAATAAACCCAGAAAAGAACATTTTCAAGCCCCTCTGCACTCAGCAAGGTCAAATCTCTACTTAGATGTCAAAGTCACACCTAGACCTGTTCAGGAAGGAGTCCAGAAACTGGCCAGCCCCTCATTGGCCCCAGCATAAACACCCCACTATCGCCCTACTCACGGGTAAACATTTGTTCAGCTCCTATTTGCCCATGCTGTGTGTAGCACATTCTTTTCCTTGAGCATTTATCATATGTCTCAAACCCTTCTGGTACAGGGAATACAGCCCCATTTAAACAAACCAAAGAAAATGGAGCCAGGCATGTAATCCCAGCACTCGGGAGGCTGAGGCAGGAAGATTGCTGCAAGTTCAAGGCCAGGCTGGGCTACATAGTGAGACCCTGTCTCAAAAACAAAAAGTGGAAAGGGGAGTGGCCCTGGGACTGGTGAAGATGAAGATACACAAGTAAATGTTTACTTATTCAATAAATACGTAGTGAGCTTTGAGCTTGGGTGCCATGGGCACACGCATATGTTCAGTGTGGGATGAACGTGAGCAGCTTTGTCTCTGATTTCACAGAGCTTCCAGTCTAAGGGCAGAGACAGACTGACAAAGCCATTATGGCACAATGGGGTAAGTGCTATAAAAAGGCAGCACTTACGGAACGCAGAGTGAGGACAGTGAGCGTGTCCTGGGAGCACACAGGGCGTTCAGAGCAGGAATTAGGAGAAAGAAAGGCCTTGTGGTGCAGCTCAGTGTAGAGCTCTTGTCTGGCTTGCGTGAAGCCCTGGCCTCAATCCCCACCCCCCGGAAGGAAGGAAGAGCTGTTCCCTTTCTAGGTCTCTTCCTGAAAGAGTTAAAGACATCATAGTATAGTGATCCGTGCACACCCACGTTCACAGCAGCAGAACTCGTAATAGCTACACTTGGAAGTGGCCTATATGTCCATCAACAGATGAAAGGATAAAGAACTGTGGTATTTATACACAATGGAGTACTACTCTGCCATAAAGGAGGATAAATCTGAGTCATTTATGGGAAAAATGAATGCACTTGACACTACAATGGTAACTGAAATAAATGAGACGCAAAAGCTTAAGTATTGCGTGGTCTCTCTACCATGACAAACTCAGAATAGAAAGAGTGCAAAATAAAAGAGAGATAATAGGAGGTAAGGAGATAGATCTTTTGCAGAAGAGGAGGGGAGCCGAGATGGCGGGAGTAGGGAAGGAGGGGAGAATTGAGATGTGCTGTGCACATGCACCAACTCCCTGGGATGAATGCAATCACTGGGTACTGCAAACGTGTACTGGTAAAAATTAAAAGAATAACCAGAAATAAATGAAAGACAGACAGTGGGAAACAGGAAGCTGGGTGGCTTGCGAACGGAAAAGGGATCTGGAGATGGGGCAGGGAATAAAGAGGACCGAGGTGTGCAGCGCACCTGCACCCACTCCCGAGAGGAAGGGAAGCGTGGCTGCTGCGAACGGGCGCTAAGAATAAAATGTCAAGAAGGGAAACTAGCCGGCCGCGGGCCACAGGCTGCACGGAGAAGGTCGCGCAAAGCCCGGGCCGCCGATGGGGCGAGGGACGGGCGGCGGGCGCAGCAGGGGGGCTCCGCGAGTCCGAGTCCCAGCGGGCGGCCCCGCCCACTTCCGGGCGCCCCACTTCCGGGCGCGCGGCCGGCACTCGGCGGACCCCGGGGCGGATGCCGGCCGGGTGCCGGCCGGGTCCCGTCCTATTTCAGCAGAGCCCCATGCTGACTCTGTTCCAGGAGGACGAGGCCGGCGAGGGCCGCTTCAACTTCTCGGCCTACGGCATGGGCCCCGCCTGCCTGCAGGCCAAGGACGGGCTGGCCGCGGCCAAGGGCGCCGGCAACAGCACCGCCGCCAACCCGCCGGCCGCGCCCTCCAAGTCGCCCGAGGAGATGCGCAAGCTCTTCATCCAGAGGGCCAAGAAGATCGACAAGGTCTCCCGCATCGGCTTCCCCATGGCCTTCCTCATCTTCAACATGTTCTACTGGATCATCTACAAGATCGTGCGCAGGGAGGACGTCCACAACCAGTGACCGGCGGCCGGGCGAAGGTGGGGTGCGCAGTGGGGACCGCGGCTCTGCGGTTCTCCTGCCGGGAAGGAAGGCGCAGTCTGCCCCAGAGCAGGAGGAAAGCAGTGTAATATATGATATATATTCATGCTTAATATTAATGCAAAGCCACCAGAACAAACAGATCTGTTCCTTAACCTATCAGCCTAGTAACTGCTTAAATCTTTCAAGTCACACAAGTGACGGACAGTTTTTCCCAGAGTGGAAAGTCACAAATAAGCTTGCTCCCGAGTGTGGCCCCCTTCACTCGCCCACCCCACCCCTGTCCTCACCCCCTCACCCCCTCACCCGGCCGGGTGGACACGCGCCAAAAAGCCATCCTGCCTCTGCTTCCAGCGCGCACAGGGGGAGAGGTGGAGAGACAGAGGACGCGAGTGGCGACAGGGATGGGACATTCCAGGGGCCCCGGGGATGAGCATCCAGTCAGTCAGCCTGACCTCAGGCCCCGGGTCTCAAGGCCAGGGTCACACGTGTCCCTCTGTGAGTCTTGTCGCTACTGTGTTCCAACACGAGCCCTTCACCACGACCCAGGAACGGCCGCCATGGCTTTCTCATTATATTGCCAATATGCAATCTTTTTTACGGTTAAAAAAGTAATAATCTCAAGAAATATGCGGGGCCGGGGATTTAGCTCAGTGGTTTCGCCACCTGCTGCGCAAGGGCAAGGACCTGAGTTCAATCCCCGGTACCAAAAAAAAAAAAAAAGAAATGGCATGCGGACAGACTGAGTGTAGACAGGAGTACTTTTTTCAAATGTCTATTTTTTGGAGAGTCCCTTCGGAATTGCAAGCAGGTGCATGTTGGAGAAAGGAGGGCCAGGGAGACGAATCGGTTTCTCTTCTAGTGCTTCTACAGTGCGAAGTTTTGAGAGGTGACAGGGGAGTGTCCGAGCTGCTGCAGGGCAGGCGTATATGGGTGGGAAGAGATGGTCCTGTTTAGAAAGTGTTCGTTATATTCTGACATTTCATATACCACAGATAATGCGAGACGTGTGAGGGATGACCCCATTCTATTTTTATAAGTCTATTTTTTTTCTTTTAGGTGCTCTGTTTAGCTTTAACATTTGGGAAAGGTAGTATTTCTCTTTCCTTTGATTCTGAAGTGCCAGAAGTATCCCAGGGTAGCGGGCACTGGAGAGAGGAAAGGCGAGGGGCTGCAGATGAATTGGGTCTGGGGAGCAGGGTGCTGCGGATGGACACGGATGGTCAGAGCCAGGCCAAGGTCCTCCGTCAGCTGCTGAGCCTGCGGCGTGGGCAGCATTTTCCCCGTGCTGCCACATGGCCGGAACACTGGGGTTCCGTTTCCTTCTTTGCACTTTAGTGTCTTGGCTTCGGATCAAAGTCATGGCCTGAATGTGAAGGACAGCCGACAATCAGTGTGCACCGAGACTGGAGGGTTCGCTTGTGTCACTGGGGCATCCCTAGCTTAGGGCAGGATGAGGAGGAGTGGTAGAAGAAATGGGACCCCGAAGCATAACTGCTCCCTCGCACACCTTTGCCTGGGGAGTTTTTTCCCCGTGCCCAAGGCACAATGGCCAGAGCCCATGCAGGTCCTAAAGAAAGCAAAAAGCCCAAGTGACTTGAGGCAAAGAAAATGCACTGTGCATCCAGAACAGAACTGGGCTTTGAGGCTTCCTTGTTTACTACTCCTTGCCTTCCTTTCTCTTGGTCTGCATAGACCAAAAAAGTGAACTGTATCCCAGTTTGGGATGAAGTGGGATATGCAGGCAGAGTCCCTTTGTTCTGAGAAATCTTGAGCAATGAAAGCCAAATAGGTAGAAGCCCCTCATGCAAAACTACCCTTTTTCACACTACAAATATGTGTCCACAGGAGGAAAAGTTAAAAAGAAAGACGAGGGCCGGGGATTTAGCTCAGTGGTGCCGCTGCCTGCCTCACAAGCGCAAAGTCCCGAGTTCGATTCCCGGCACCAAAAAAAAGAAAGAAAGAAAGACTTGAACAACTACTACCAATTCAGGATTGGACCATTAGTCATAGAACTGCTATAAGCACATTTCACGAGCACTACATTCACTTTAAGGGAGAGAAGAAACTTTGACTCTTAAGTGGTTCTGGAATCTTTGGAGAGGCCACTAGTCCCTTTCACTAGCACTTTACTCACTTATTTAGGTAAAAATTATTTTTAATCAAAAGTTAATATATCCCTTTTCCCTACCTTCATCATTACTGGTCTAAATTCAGAATGTCTAAAGTTTAGGTGAATCAAACAACAAAGGCAGTCGATCTCTATCAGAGACTAAAAAAAATACCCACTGTTCTAAGGCATTCCACATGCACTCAAACAAAAACATCCGCAGACTCCACACTGACTTGCATACAGGCAGCATGTGGAGTCCTCCTGAGACAGAACTCACTGGGCCATATACCGGAGCCCTGGACTTCTGCTGCCATGCCACCATATTTAACCTGGGGCCCGCTGGGGACCACCGGGCAAGGCAGTGGCATCCAACTAGTGGTGGATCATCTCTTTGAGACACTGAAGTCTCTAGTATTAAGCTTTAGTTCTTTGGCTACACAGTGAGGAAAGTGCTAGGAAAAACTCCGTCCCAGCCTCCTCTAGCTGCTGCAGGAATCTGAGCTTAATCTGGCCTAGAGGAAGGAAATGCCTTCACACCACTAAAAAGTGAACGTCACTTCGATCTTCCCCTTCCACATGGATACATGGACGTAATATGTGTGCACAGAGTAGCTGAACCTGCACAATTTTTGTTTTCTTTCTTCTTTGGAAAACTTGCAAATTCTGTTTTCCTTTTATACCACTTTATCAAAGCTGAAGAGTAGTGAGGAAAGTTTAGCAATCATTATGACATCAAAAATACCTTGGGAATGGAAGCGTGCTCAAGGAGAAGACACTACCATCGACGGGTAATGCAGTAAGGACTTAGCAATAAATTACAAGAATTTCATCATTATAGAAAATCAAACCAGATTAATTTAGATCAAAATTGTTAGATGGCTCCCATGAACAGGGCCATACTTTCCTAACTTCTGTTCAGTTTGAGCCCCAGAGATACTATGCATGGGGATTACAGACACAGGGTGAAGAGCTAATGTGGGTGCAATCATGGGTTCAGTGTTTTGAGACCTTTGACATGTATGGCTGGCATTTATGTGTAGAGGAATTGGTGATGTCACCCAGCTCCAAAACTGCAGCTTCTCCCAGGAGCCAGATAGTAATACCAATGACTTCTCACCTGTTTCTTTACAATGTGTCTCGCCTGTTTCAAAAGCAGCCACAATAAATGGCTCAGCTCTACCACCCTCTGGCCCTTTCAAACAACCAAGAGCCCATTCTTGGCTAAGGCTTTATAGAGAATAAAGATGGGTAGGTGTGAACAGAAAGAAAAAAATGTCTGTCAGTATGTATGTGTGTGTATATATAATTGTTTGTTTGTTTGTTTTGAGGCAGGGTCTTGCTGTGCAGTTCAGCCTGGCCTCAAACTCATAGTGCTCCTCCTGTCTCAGCCTCTCGAGTGCTGGGACTGCAGGCATCCACTACCATGCCTGGCTTACGTGTAATATCTTGGATTTAATTCTATTTTCTGTTTCAGTCTAGAAAGATACAGGAGGGTTAATCATTTGGCCTAAATTATATCTTTTTCCAAGTTGTCAGTAAATAGGAAATGAGTCCCTTCCAGAAGCTGACCAATATTTTTATAGACCGTTTTTTTCATACTTGAGAGAAAAGCAACTATAAGAGATAGCTCCTGTCCTCCAATGTATGTATCTGTATGAGCATCATTTAAAAAGGCGTGGTGTTTTATGAGGGTGCAGGATATTGGATTGTGTCGAGCAGGCTGGTGCTCCAGCCGATCCGACCTGGTACGTCACTGCTAATAGGCTTTTGTTAAAGTGAGATTCCTTCCTTCACTGGGACACACTGAAACTGAAGTGGGTTATCCCTGTGTCTGCAGCACCTGCACCCTTCGGAGAGGAAGCTGGCAAGCAGAGGGCTTGGCCTGGTGGTGGTGCAGTCTGTATTAGCTTAAGGACCGGGGTCAGGATCTGAGTTTGCAGCCAGATCTTTCCCAGTGTGGTTGGAAGCCCAGTCCAGGGCAGTGGACAGCTCTCTGGGAGCTCTCCTGCTTACACAGCAGGCACTGCACACGCTACCCATGCTCCCCCCAGCCGTGAAGGGCCAGGCAAGACTGGGGCATGTCTGTGGGCTGGGTTTCCTGAGTAGCTAAGGGGCTCTGTGGGGCGGGAGAGGTCTGTTGAGGAAGGGTGAGTGGACCTCTACCCCGACGTACAGCATCTTTAGTTCACTAACCAGCCCGACCAATATTTCCCTAATCGGACAAGCAGGGAACGTATTCTTAAAGTATAATATAACTTCTTTTCTTCCACAAAGGCCATCAAAGAAATTTGAATTAAGAACCTTCCTATTTTCCTGCAGTTCTACAGAGCCAGAAATAAGAGCCTCTGATCAAAGGGAGGAATAAAGAAATATGCTTTGTTTTAATCAAGTTAGCTTGCTACTGAGAATGACTTGTATCTGTGTAAGGAAAAGCATATATGTTGGCAAGGCTTTGGTCTCAATGTACCTTGAAATCCCCGTGGATAGAGAGAACATGTAGGATGACATAGCTGTAGAAATAAAGAACATTGTGAAAATCCAGAAACGACACCCACCCCTATGTAGCCCGATGTTGAGAATGAAAGCAGTGACTTTTGTCTCACTGTCTCAGCTGAGGACCCCAGAATGTCGTGATGGACATGGTACCCTGCACACCCCTCCCAGGCCTGAGCAACTTAGACCCCTGAGGGCCCATACAAGACTCACGCTAAATACTAACACTTCCCCTTTGCCCATGTATTATCCCACTGCTTCCTAAGGAAGCTCAAGCTGTGGAGACAGCTGTGTCAGGGTAGGTTCGATCATACATGGGTGTTACTCTGTGCTGTCTTGATGGACTTGTGTGGTTATTTAAACCAAAGGTTAAGGTGCTTTATCATTCTTTGGAACAGCAAAATGAGTTGCAAAGTAGAGATTATTTGCCCAGTGTTCTTAGGATCATTAATACCTCTCCAGGAAACATCACAGCCATTGCTTCTCCCTATTTTGCTTTCCCCCTGCTTCTCTCATGGCCTCCTCCGTCGGCATTTCCCATTTCATCAGTGTGCGCATCTTATTTTGTGAAACCGAACTCTGCCCAAAGATGCTCATTTATTTCTGAGGGAGGTAGGAGGAGACTAGAACAGACCTCATAGCTGCTGTCTGCTTTGCCTCAAGGCTGTGATTTCTCTTACTCCTCTTTCCCTATGTGTTTTGAAGGTTCATTCCTGTGGGAAATTTCCATTGGAACACGGGATAGAGAAGTCAGAGCATGCAGAATGGTGAGCCAAAAATATACCCTTTCGAGGACATAGTGATAAAAGTTATGTTCTATATAAGGCCATTAGCCAGCTGCATACAGATCCGTACCAGGTAACGAACTGGGCAAGAAAGGCGTCTGTTGCTGTTTGTAGACTCCAAGCATGGCTGGCCTCTGGTTCCCACAACTAGCCCACTCCATAGCTCCTGGTGGTACCTCGTTAGTGTCCTACAGCTTTTCAGGTCCAATTGTTTCCTTACGCAGCTATACCATGGAAACCCAGTACCCTATTTAAATACACCTGCCTTGTGAAGCAGACAGGTCAGTAGGAGGCAGAAGATCCCTGTTCTGACACCACTTCAAGCTCAGGGTGCAAATACGGTACAGGTGAGCGGTTCTCTTGGCTGGCTCCTCTCCTAAGGAGGGACTTGCAAGAGATCTCTCAAAGCCAAACTCTGGGTAGTTTGATATGTTGAAGATAAGAAAGCAGGGTACACATTGTGTTCTAAAAGGTTTTCTCATTCTTCATTTTACTCCTGGGCTTGGAGCCCCATCCCTAGGGAAGGAATCAGATTTTAAAAAGAGGAGAGTGAGTCCTGGCCCTCCCACGTCAGTCTTAATCTTTTTCCATGAAAGCTGAGGTATTTTGCAGCACTGGTAGACCTGCCTCTAAGACGCACTTCTCCCCTGAGAATCCCATCACACCTCAGGACCACCTTTCGGCCTCGTATTTCAGCATGCACGTCCTACAAAGGCTGTGACCCATATCCCACTGTGGTTGTTTGAATCCAGAGGCCCTGGGAGAATCAGAGAAACGTATCTGGCAGAACTTGGGAAATATCCCTCGGGAAATAACTAGGATGAGCCCAGTCCTCTCCCTGCCTGGTCCCCCATCCCCACCCCCCAGTGTCACCCTAACAGGAAGCTTCCGGCAAGATGTAAGAATCTTGTATCCATGAATGCCCCTGCGTGTCCATTCCTGTTAGTCAAGCCGCAGTACCAGAAAAAGCGAGCCCCCCGCCACCCCGTATCCCTGGGACAATTGTCTGCATCCACACCATCAGTGAAGCTACGCTCCTGCAGAGAAGAAACATGGTAACCGAGGTGGTTGGAGGTGAGCCAGCTCCCTCCATCACCCCAGCCAGAAGCCCACCCTGGGAATGATGCTTCTGCACGTGCTTCCACTTTCCCAGAGCTGTGACAAACATTGCTCCCAGACAGCACTCTTCCTGCCTGTCCCATAGGGACGCCTGTGTGCTCTGCATCAGTGGGATCTCTTCACATGTTTATACTGGGACAATAGGATAAATGGTCTTCATTCTTCCTTCATCTGGCCCTGGAATTAATGAGAATATTGCAGGTTGAAACATTTTTTTCATTCTCATGTTTAAAATGAATTAAAAGATCATTTTCAACCTCTCATAAGTGGATAAAATCGAAATCCTATTTGAAACCACCCCGTCCCCCATTCCCATAGAGCTACTTCCTTCTTGACCCTTGAAAGATTCAGATAACTGATATTAAATGCCTTCAGGATGGGTAGGTGTGTGATAAAGCAGTGAAGTGCAACTGGATAATCTAGGAGGTAGCTATGGAGGCAGTCACAGTAAAACTTCCATATCTTCCTTTCTGTAAACAATAGTGTAGACTTAGTTGATCTAGAGAATCTTTTCTAGTCTACTCCAGTTTCTTTTAGCTGCAGAAAAAAACCAGAGGACTTCCGCCAGACTCTGAGAGCTCCCGCCCTTGATCCTAAGCTCTCCACTTTCCTTTCTCCAAACCCATCTGCAGGTTTTCTAAGGCGGTGGAAAGGATGGTAGCTTCCCACTTGCAGGCTACGATGTGGCTGCTTATAGGCACACTGCCCTGTGCAGGACTTAGCACTTCTGCCGCTTCCTCCGGGGATGCTACCCACGTCACAGGTGTGTTGTGTGTCACTCCCTATGACATGAGTAGTGTGAACTGTAAAGCTTTCTTCTGTTACCTCTCTCTGAGGTTCAAATCCCCTCTCCCTCCCTGAAGAGCTCATCAGAGCTTTCTTCCAGGATCCAGGCCTCCTCCCTAACCCACCTGCCTTTCAGAGTGGCCAGCTGGGTGACATTTCCTCGCTGCTGAATTGCTCTGTGCTTGCCTCAGACCTGGTGCACGTACTAAAACCTAAATCCTAGCCCTCGTTCAACTTATCAAACTGACACCCCTTTTCCCATGGATGTCATGGGAGGATCAGCCAAGCAGAAGGCACATTAAGCTCTGCAAACAGAGTGGCTGTCACCACAAGGAGGCTGGTGGCAGAGTGAATAACCAACCCCTGGACTCCACGGTCACGCTGGTACTGAGCAGCAACTGTACGGCACTCTGTGTAATTCAACCCCAATGGCCCTGACCTCACTGTCCGTTTTATAAATGAGCAAACACTGGCTCAGAAAGTTTGTGGTAACAAGTTCAAGTCAAAGCCTTGCCAACAAAATTGGGCATCATTCTAGACACTGGGGAGCTGAGTTTTAAAAAGCTGGCATAATGACCTTATTTCATCTATGTCCTTTTAACCTTCAATGAATTATTTCACCCTCTGTGGTCTTAGTCACCCATCTATGAAAGCCCCATCTTCCCAAGTTGTTGTGAGTATCTAATCAAGGATAAAAACTGGGGCTGGAGGGGCCAGGGATTTAGCTCAGTGGTTCCGGTGCCTGCCTCGCAAGTGCAAGGTCCCAAGTTCGATCCCCAGTACCACAAAACAAACAAAATAAAAAATAAAAACTAGGATTTAAAAAAAAAAAAAAAAGGTTAAAAACCTACTAATCCAGTCTGTGATGCTCAAAAGATTTGAAGTTGATATTGGGCCACTTTCTGGCTATAAATTGTGAAACAGAAGAGTCAGGAGTAAGAACCAGGCAGGTGGGACTAGATAGCATCTGGAGGGTCCTGAGAACACCTGTCTCCTGTGTTACCACGCAAAAGATAACTGTGCCTGGAAAGGCTTGGATTTGGCTGGAGTCAGGTGGAGATTAGACCTTCTCTGGAAGCCTTCTCCAAGTCTAGAATCCCTGTAGCCATTCACTGAAGATAAAGACCCTACTACAAATCCTGCTGGGCACAGGACCTGAAGAGGAGTGCTGTCCCTAGTACAGAACGTGAGACAGTGAAGCGAGATGTGAGGGCTATCAGCACTGACGGGGGGGAAGATGTGGGAACAAGAGAGGGAGGCAGAGACCGAGTTCAGAGGGAGCAAGTCGAGTCTCACAGGGACAACCCAGGGTTCTCGGAGAACAGGTCATTCAAGCTCAAATTCTAAACAACAAATTACTTTCCATAGCAGCAGCTTACTATTTGGATATAACTGTGGTCTCACTCACCTTTAGCTTAACTCCTGGTGGGCAGTGTCCTAGCCACTTCTGCCAAGTAGGTGTTCAAGTAAAAAGGGACTTTTCTCTTCGTACACAATACCAGTGAAACAGCACTGAAAGCGGTGGCCTAACCAACGTTCCAGGAAAGGAGGGTATAGGGGACAGGAAAGGGGACGTTACCAGAACCCCTGCTGTGGGCCCTGGTCTCCTGTGAGCCAGGACAACGCAAGGCGAATTAGAGAATAAAAACAGGAAGTGAGACTTAGCGAAAAGGCTGGGTCTTGGGCCTGATCAGTGCTGCTCTAGACAGAAGACAAGGGAGCACTATTTATTGGGTTCATGGGGAGTATCAGATGACTCAGAGGGCAGCGATGATCCTAAATTGACAAGGATCTTATAATCGGAGGAAGTATCAGATGACTTGGAAGCGGTAAACCTATGACAATGAGGATCTTATGCTGATGAGGATTTTAGTCAGGAGCTTATGTTGATTGGAGCTTATGATCAGGATGGTAAAATGAGCAAAACATACTTACAACAGTAGCTGGGATGAGTTAAGCTGATAAGGAGTTTGTCCCTCCCCAGGTGAAACTTTCTTTTTGTATTACTACTTCTCAAAGAACCAGGATGTCTTCAGCTGATACAATGTTGCCCTTGAGCATCACAGCATCACCGACTATTGAGGCCTCAGCTGTGACCAGAGGTACATGGAGTTCTTTCTGCTTGCCATAGCCGGCTGCAGGCAAAACCAGCCCTCATACAGCCCTAATCATAATTTGTGAAATGATTTTTTCCCCAAAATTATGTAGAATAGCTCCCTACAGGAGGTGTGTCTTTAAAGGCTCTTTACTCCCATCCACGCTCGAGGAAGAAAGTGGAGAAATGGACTTACAGGGGAAAGATGTGAACAAAATCCTCCCGATCACCATGGCCCACCCCCTAAAACTTCAGATGTTCCTGCATTTCTCCCTGCCCTGTTCTGGGTGTCACTGTCTGCTAAGCAAATTGATGTGCACAGACTGGCAGTCCACATCACGGGACAAGGCCTCTGCTGCTGTGCTTTTTCACCACTTGGCCTCACGTCAGCTGAACCCAGAAATGTGGTCTTTAGCCAGACAGGCCCAAAGTGACGGCAGTGACGCTGGCCTCGTGCAAGCTCCTGTGGGGGCCAGCACAGCACTCCTGTGCAGTGATAGGTGACAGCAGTCAAGTGAGCCCAGACTCCAGTGACTCCAGCTCTGTTCAGTGTCTCCAAGTAACTGCTAGGGGACTCTGAATGATTCTTTCAAAACGTCAGTGTAGAGAAAGCAACCTACCCTTTCACAATGTGAGTTACAACAGGTGCAGGGACATCCCAAAAGTTAGTGCATGTCATAGCCAGGGCTGAAATATATTTAATCATATGAAATATTATAAAAACATTTCCAGTTTTTCTCATTTTTTTCACCTTACACCTGTCATCCTTCCACCTGCAATGTACTTAATCTTTAAGTCACTATACCATGAAGGCAGGGTATCTGAAAAGATACAACTTTTCCCCGCGATACAGAGGGGATTATAACTACCAACTAACTACTAACATGGGATGCAGGAAGTGAGAGGAAAGAAGTGCCCATGGCGAGGTCAGAAAGTAGGATGCTGCAGTAACTTAAAGAACAGGTAACTTCTGACAGCTGGGAACAGGGAATTAATTCTGGGAGGAAATGACAGCATGAACAAAACATGGAGGTAAATAAAGGGCACATACTAGGCATAGTGATTAAACATGTAGCTGAAGTACAATGATTGGAAGATGTTTAGAAAGATTTAGAATTCAACACAACATGCTTAAATGAAGACTAAAGGGTCAGTGCTTTGAATAATCAGGGCACTGCTCAAAGGCAAGTCAAGAGCGCTCCTTCATGAACACAGCAGCCCATTCGATCTTCTTTCTGGGCCTTTCCTAACTATTGCAGGGTGGAGACACCTCTATGCAGTTCAGACTCACTGGACTTACTTTGGAAAAACTTACCTTTTCCTTTATCTCAAAAGTATACATGGTAGCCACTAGAGATTCACTTCCTCAAGGCCATCAGTTAAACCCATCAAGTACATAGATTTAGTTTGTGTCAAATAGGCACAGAAAGGGGGCGGGCTATGGTAGTCGTGGACACTAAGCTCACTATTCTACTTAATTCTGAAAGATATTCCTAGTGTTGTTACTTTTTTTATCAAGTCCATACTTAGTACAATGAAGGTTTTCCTAAAAGGGAGCTTGTGGGCCGAACATTACCTTTTGTTGATCTGAGATCTGGCCCATTCAGGGTGTGTGGCTGTAGACAACCTTTTGTTGATCTAATTAAAATGTTACACAGAGCAGACCTGGAGGAAAAGTATAGTCTAGCATGTCCTTTAACCCTGATTTTAAAAAAAAATCTAAAATTACTTCTCCCAACCTACACAGCATCTCTCTATATGTCATATATATATGAAGAGAAAAAATAAGCACTTAAGTGTAACTGACTTTTATCAAGTCATTGCTGGTAAAAGTATGAAGTTTCTCCCATAAGTCACCTTCCTTCAGTAAAATTAGAATATTTTGGGGAAAGGTATTTCCTACCCTAGCAAATAAGATTGCCCAGATTTTTTAGAAGAGTGGTGCTTACATATCAAGTAAACAGTTTGGTGAACTCAACCTTTTCCACTTTAGACATGTTCTACCTCATCTAACGTGTATCATCCACGGCACGCCAGTGTAGCCTGAATGATGGCAAAGCAAAAGCCATGAGGCATTTCAGAGCATTTTAAATTCATACTACTTCGTATTGTAATGGTTTGATCTGTCAATACTTAAGCCAATATAGTATTTTCAACACCAACAGGTTAAAATGAGATAAGTGAATTAAATTCCAAAGGCCCCATCCTGCTACTTTGTATACTGGATAAAATGCCTACTTTGTGTTGATTCTTGTGCATATTAGACAAACAACGTAGTGCATTTTTCTCTAAAAAGTATTTTAAAGTTAGCCTCATTCTACTTTCAAAAACCAGACCAGGGACTTCAGTGGTCTCTACGTGAAAAACTGGACAAAACAGATGTCGCCAGCTGTTACAAACTTGAAATGGGCACAGTCAATCACAAAGTGACCCAACACAAACATTCTTAGTACTTTTAAGCCACCTGGCACTGACCAACGGTATTCTCATTGTCTGGCCCAACATCACGACAGAGCCGTTGGCTGAAGTTACTATAACCAGAGCATATGCAATCACCGCAGTGCAGGCAACCAGTGTCATCTGAAGGGAAGAGTGGTTTGTGACTGGAATGCTGTGACTGCTCATTTTGTACACACTCAAACTACAGTGCTTCCAAATCAATTTAAGTTAAATTAAAATACGTTGATCTAAAGCATTCCAAAGGGAGCTCTAACAATGTACAAAATTGCTCAAAGTCAGCCACTGGGGGAATTATTTACATCCTTTATCTTGGATTCAGGAACTTTTCATTTCGATGCAGGGGGCATTTGCTAATCTAAGATGAGCCAGTTTCTGCAACCAGTGTGCAATCTCTCCCCCAAACCTTGCCAAAGCAAATGACTTCTGCATAACCAGAAGTCATCTCCAAAGGACTTGCCCTTCATGTGTTCCCCACTTCAACCACTTAGGTATTTGCACAAAATTACCCTGTCTTAAAAGTTCACTGGTTTGATATTTCAGCAGAAGGCAAATCCCAGGTGATTCTCCAACTGCACGTCACCTCTCCCCTTTTCTCCCAAAAAGGGTAGCTGCCAACTTAAAACGTGTCAAGATACACAAAGGGTAAGACAGTAACTTCCAACAGCTAGGCACTGCTTCCTGAACTCTAAGGCTTTGGTTCAAATTAGTATACTCCCCCATGAAGTCATTGTAACCCCACACAACAGAAGGGTATACTGGGTAATGATTCAGGTCAGAATGCCAGGATGGCTGGCAAGCGTCACAGCTAAGACACCTACAAGTTATGATTCCGTTGATTTCAAATACTTTGGGGAGATGCAAGAAATACGGTTGCCCTTTGCTACAGCATGTCTGACCACCCGTAACAGAAGAGGTTAGTGATTCCTACTTCCACAGGAGACCAGAAGAGTCCCAAGCCAACATAGCAACTCCAGACAGCTAGCCAAAGAATAGGTTTCTAAGTCGTAGCCAGGGGGCACCTTAATTAACTTGCCTGGTAAATTGGGTTAGAATTACAAAGTTCATCCTTTTCCCAGAAGAAAATGTCTTTTATATGGAAATTTCTTTGTACATATGTATAAACTTGGGTATGGCCTTAATGCTGCAGTTAAGGATTTGTTTGGCTATCACCTTAAGCAGCGTGTTAAGCAATCGCTTCCTTAATGTAACATTTTTACTTCTTACTGGACACTCAACCTTGAACAACCAATTTCCTTTGCCCTACTATTCCTTGTTGCATGAAGTCATAAAAGTTATAGCAGTTATTTTTTGGCTTGTAAAAAAAACCTATTTCTGCCGTTTGAAGATGGAATGTAAAATTTCTGTGATACATGTATATAAAAGTATATTTATTGAACCATCCACACACCCATATCCATGCAAATTCCAATGGAGAAAATTAAAACTTTCTGAAATTTTCTGTGGTTAACTCATTACTATGTAGCCTTCTATGTGAAAGAAACCTATGTATAACCTGAAAAAGTCTCAATTTTGACCAGTTTTTAAGTTGAGAAATGAGAATTCACTTGTTCATTCAAGAAATATTTATTGGTAGGCGCTATGGGGGATAACAAAGGGGGTTTAACACACAGATCCTGCCCATAAAGAGCTTACAGTCTACTAGGGGGGATAAGACACACAGTGGGCTACACCATCAGGTAGGTATACGTTTCCAGTGAGATGAATCTAACAGTGTAGAAAACAAGCTGGAGTAAGAGGTACTGTGAAGCTGAGAAGCTGTTCAAATTAGGTAAGGAGGAAAGAGAAGTGAAAGCCTGTTGAGGTAAAATGACAAGACGCCGGAAACAGTGCAGTGACAAAACGGGAAGCAGACGACTGCACTAGTTGCATGGGTGACATCAGGAACTGAAAGAGCAGTGGGAGCAACAAGGTTATGAAAATCACTCTGCATCAAGGTGCTCGGGACATGCTAGATACAACAGAAACGCTAATCACCCAGGCCAGGGATGGAAGAACTGAGGAACAGCCAGTGACTCTGTCCCCTTCTGGCCCACTCCCTAAAACGTCCCAATGATTTCCTCCACTGAAATGTCATAGGGCCGCCAGGATTTACTGAACTCAAAACCTCCTCCAGGTATACTCCCCATGTGAGAAAACAGAAAACTTCACTATTTAACTCAGCTCCCATGGAGGGACTCCAGGATAGTAGTATATTCCGACAAATACAGGGCCTAACCCCCCCAGTCCTTGTTCTCCAAGAAATGAGTCTAACAAAGCAGTGAAACAGATAATATAATTCGAACTCTAGGCTATGAGAAGGGTATAAAGTGCTCCAGGAACACACAGCTTAAATTATGAAAGTCAGGACAGAACCTCAAACAGGAGGGACAAGATGGAAGTAGATAAGAATGAGTTTGCTCAAGTTCTGAACACAGGATTCCCTATCCCTGTTGCAAATCTTAAGGTAAAAACAGCTCTTCTCGATCTTTTAAAAAATGACGTGGGAAAAAAAATAATGACGTGGATGATGAAGAGACTGGGAAGCAGGGTATAGACACAAGTATATCTTCAGGAAGAGAAGGAAGGCACTTGAATCCATGGACTCGGTGAGGGCAGCCTACCAGTGAGGGACCACTACTCGGTGAGGGACCACCAGTGGCTGAGCATGCTGGAGCATCATTTCCATGAAGATCAAGAGAAACACCTGGAAAGGAATACTAGGACCTGCATACATACACGGCGCTGCCAGGCACTAAAAAAGGTACACGTCTAAGACCCAATTGCTGCCCCCTAGGAGCTTACAGTTATAACAAGGTGGAAAAGCACCACAATGTACAGAACACAAAATGCTGCAGGATTCAGGAGATTACAGCTGAGTTTCAGCTATTAAACATCAGGATACCCGATAGCCTTCTGAGAGCTAGTAGTAAACCCTTCTGAGGGGAGCACAAGTTAATGTCCTTAGACAACAAGCCCTGATAGAGCTGGGCATTAAGACAGCCCTAAGAACACAGAGAAAACCTGGGTATGAAAACAGAATTAAAGGGCCTAGGACTTAGCTCAGTGGCACTGTGCCTGCCTTGGAGGCACAAGGTCCTGAGTTCAATCCCCAATACCAAAAAAAGAAAAAAGAAAACAATTACAGAATGAACTGGATAAACATTAAAATGTGATGCCTTCCCTTCTCTCCCCACATCCTGATCTGTAGCAGCTCTGGCCTTCTACAGGGAACCTAGCCTGCTGGTCCCTGAAGATTCTCCAACTTTCTTCTATGTGCAGTTCTGGGACTCTGAGCCATTCATTTATCTCCTGTAAAATGAAGGTGTTACACAAGCCACCTCTTAATGCCTTCCAGCATTAGCAATCTATGACTGAAAAGTTCGAGGAGTCTCTCCCATCCATTGTGGTAATCAGAAAGGGAAGGAAATCTTTAAGGAAATACTCAGATTCTCAAAAATATAATTTTTCCATATAAATCACAAACTCCTATTTTCTCAGCTAAATTCTACCTCTACCTCCAATCTTTTAACATGTTAACATCTACCTATATATGAATTTATTTTTAAAATTTTCTATAGCTACTCAAGTTAATGTGCACCAAATGTTAAGGGTCCTTGCTTCTTGCTTCTTGGATGTGATGTCGCCATCAAAAAGGACAGAATCAGGGTATATGCAATCTTTGTAACAAAAATTTAAAAGGTAAACAGATCCAAAAGTCAAACAGGTGACATCAAAGCTTGGAGAGAACCAGTAACCAAAGTAGCTTTAATTATAACATTAGCTAAAATTGTTTCTATCCATGTTAAACATGATATAATCATCCTTGTAATTACTATCAAAAATATAGGCAATGCCCCATAGGTGGTGCTTTTTTTTTTAATAGCAAAACATTTACTGGTACATTTTAGTCATACATAATGGTAACACACATCAAAGGGAATTTGCACCTGTACATTAGGTGGCTTCTTGAAAATTCCTTATTTAAGTATTTCAATCAGGAATGTTTGGCAAACATTTTTAATTGACTTTGGGGGGGCGGGGGAGCCCCTAAGTCACACTGCAGCACATCCCTTACAAATCTGGGATGTATTTCAAAGTATTAAACATGTATGGATTTCTGTAGCTGGCCAAATCATATGGCTTATAAGGAGTTTCATTGGAACCGTTTCCCACTATTATTCTTACTCACGGGGACCTTAAAAAAAGCTACAAAATTCAAGTCAGAAAGTGGACAGGAAAAAGACTGTCCCAAGTTTTCAAAACAAGCCATATTAACCTTGAAAAATGAACCTCAATTCCATCAAAACTGAAACCACATAAGGGGTTTAAGTGACTTCTAGTGAGGTTTACTCACCCAGGCCATGTTTTGTGGCTACTGTATCATGAAATCATGAGCATTACGCTGAGCAACGTATCCACTAAGAATAGGAAAAGAAATGTTTCTCTCTCATGTGCTGCCATTTCTCCTTTATTATCAAGAGTTCACGACCTACCCATGGTCCCATAACCTCAACATTACAGTGAACAAATATAAACCCCAAAGGCATTTTTTGAAGAAACCCAAAGGTTTCTTAAAACCAGAACTCTTTATTTAACTTAGTTGTCATCTAATATCACATGGCCATTGGTGCACCAGCAGCTCTCCCCTACCAAAATCCCACACGAGACATTGCCTAGATGATTCTAAACCACTGTGCAAAGTTCCCTGTCCACTGCCTACTTTCGGTACATTTGGCAGTCAGCTAAAACCCCATATTCAAATAAATATTGACATTCCTTCTTTATAAGGTTAAAAACTGCTAACTAAAGTCAACAGTTATTTCACGTGCATGCAATTCTGCAGAGATTCTTTTAAGTAGCACAAAAAAAAAAATCAGGAGATATGACAAATGAAACTATTTACTTAAAGAACTAATTCACTCAGCATAGACCACAGTCTACAAATCTGAACTTCATAGACAGAGATTCTATTTTAACTGCTTTCTATAAAGTGCAACCCTTTCCACTAAATCACTAATTTCTACAAGGGTTTTTCCAATAAGAAAGTTTGTACAGAAAAGTATCAGGGGATGGCAGTTATTGAGTATAAAACATAACTTTAAACTCACCTGAATTATGTTATAATAAAAATACCGTAATCACCCACATCCAAATTTTAAATTTGTACTAAATGTACATCAGACATCAGATCAAGAAAACAATTTTAAGAACAAATCACTGTTATCACACAGGTTTTACAAGCATCAAAAGAGACCTACAGTGAAATACAACCTTACTTGCTCTCAAGAAAAGAACAGCAATGCTGAACTTGTTCTGAGTATCTTCCACACTAAGGTCTCTCAGCAGTAACTTTATTATAGGAATCCTACTGAAGCCAGGCGTAGTGATGCACACTTGTAATCCCAGCGCTTGGCTGAGGCAGGAGAGGCAGGAGAGGCAGGAGGCTGAAGCCAGCATGTGCTATATAGAGAGACCTGGTCTGAAGGGGGGGAAAAAAGGAAGAGCTTACACACTACATAGGTCATCCAAATGTAAAAAGGTAGACACTGTGCTTCTGAAGAAAAAGCAATGATTCTGAAGGACAATTTGTTCCTTGCTATATGGATGACTTCAAGGCCTGGTCATTTAACTGTGCTGATGCCATTTCTTCCATCTGTTATTTTAGGGACAATGTCATACAATCCACAAGGTAGGCATGAGAATGGCTTTCTATAGTGCAACTAAACTAATGCTGTGGCAGTAACTGACTTATCCTAAATAAGGTAATTATTTTTGCATTATCCTTTTCACTGCTCCTAAGCAAGGGCTCAGAGTCAACCTCACACTGAAAGCAAAAATATTTTAGGCCAAGATCTATTTATTTTCTTTTTTTTTTTTCCTTTTTTTTGGGTACCGGGGATCAAACTTGGGACCTTGCGCTTTCAAGGCAGGTAGTGAAACCATTGAGCTAAAACCCTGGCCCCAAGATCTATTTATTTTCAATAGGTCTTAAAAGGCTGAGATCCAGTGAACCAAACTAAGCTATCTAGTTAAAATACTCATGGGTCAAGGGCCTTAAGCTCAGTAGCAAAGAACTACTACAATGCTACAGATGAACACCTTGAACATCTGCACTGTAAAATCTAAAAACATCGATGTGATGACCTTGTTGATTACAGAAAACGTCACCCAACTCACTTGGCCTCCACCGCTCAGCTGTGTGCATGCAGCCCTCCCCTAAGCTCTCCTCCTTACCCTATATGCAACAATGTAAACAAGGGTACTAGGATTTAGTAGTGACCATCAAGTTAAATCCCATTTCTCAGGCCCAGTGCTATTCAAAACCACACAACCAAACCAATTCTAAGGACTTGAAGTTACTGAGGAAATGAGTTTCTGAGATGACGCAGTGATTCCCTGCAGTGAGTTACAGGAGCGTCCAGCAGACTGCTACACCTCTCTACATTTAAACATCCACACACACAGGCACGCACACTTGCAATTTGGTACAAATAACAGGAAGGGAGATTTCCTTAGAGAAGATGTTACAGTAATTCCTAAGAGACTCACACTCCCTAACTATCAGAGGCCCAGTAAGGACCATGAGCCTCCCTTCAGTCACCTCCCTCATCCCACCGTACCACTTGACCACGGAGCACAGACCACAGGAGTCCAGTGTCCAAGGGGGCAGGGCTTCGTTTGGCCCCACCCAGCGAATGTCAGAAGTGGTGCTGTACCCCACAGGCCCTCCGAATCTCAAACTTCCAACATCACATCTTGTTAGTGCCCTTAAACCTCTCATTAGGATACATTTCTTTTTTAAATAAACTGAGAAAAAAAGTCAACTGAGTATTTAATTGAGAAAAATTATTTCTAGGTTATCTATAATTTATGACCTGGAAGTTTTTTTTGAAAAGTAACCCAGAGCCGGGTATAGTGACGGTGGTGGCACCCATGTAATCCCAGCACTCTGGGAGGCTGAGGCAGGAAGATCAAGTTCAAGCCCAGCCTGAGCAACTAAGCCACTTAGCAAGAGCCTGCCTCAAAATATAAAATAAAAATGACTGAGGAAATAGCTGGGTCTGATCACTAGAATTAAAACACACACACACACACACACACACACACACACACACACACACAGTTCAGGCTAACATTTCTCGCTTCACCACAAGCTTAATGTAAGCTACAGAGATACAAACTGAAATCCTTCTAATTAACACTGGCCTAGGCCAAATGAAGTGGTCACCGAGTTACTTAAACTGACCCAAAACACAGCCGTGTGACTTAAGTTTTCTTTATGTGAAGGAGACGCTACCAATATTTACATATTTAAGGTACTGGGACCAAACTGGTAACGTTACACATCATTTAGTTTTAGGTGATCCTTTCATAGCAAGTCTACAGTTACTAACAGCAAAATAAAAAATTTCTATTTCTATTCACATGCTATCCTCAAATGACAGCTCTAAAGTTGAACACTGTTAATAAGAAAATAAGTTAAATTCGACCAACCTGGTTGCCCTTAGATTAGTAATGGCAAGCTGTCACACAAAGGCTTGTTTCACACATGTAAATAAAACCTTCACTCACCTCACACACAGCACTCAACAAATAACATAACTTTGTAAAATGAGTATTATTATAGTCTATATTGCCAGATTAAATTTTCTTCCAGAAATATTTTAATAAAAATTGGCCATTTCAAGAAACACCCACTGCATGCCCATCAATAAGAGAATCATAACAAAATGGGAAATTTACCACATGACTATGATTTAAAGAAAAGAAACTGCAGACACTTGAGCACACTGGTGAAGTCCACTATTAAAGTCACAATTCTTTCTCTTTTTTATGATTAGGAATCTGATTAGATACCAAAATAAAACCTAATACAAATGCTCAGCTATTTAGGTCAAAGAACCTCTACAGAAGCATCTGTCCTCAAAGGCATTCTCCAGTTTGAGACTCAATTTAGGGTAAGGTGTAATGAATGTTAACAGAAGTCATACACGGTGAAGAGAGAGGGAGTCTACAATTCCTCACATTCTCTGAACATAAAAACAAATCTAGATTTTTTTTTTTTTAATTTTTCTTTAAATAATTGCCAAGAGTGGAATCAAAGATAAATAGAAGGCACAACAGTTTTGCTCTGGTTGTTATTCAGATTTAGGGGTTTGTATTTTTTTTTTTCTTTTCTTTTTTTTTTTAAACAAATACAAATGAAAAACTCTACAAAAAAATCTAACAGTTCAGGAAAAACCTATCAATTGCATTCTAGACATTCAAAACCTATCTTACAATTTAAATTTTAATGGTAAAAACAGGTTTTAGAACTGTTTTGTGATCGATATCAAAAGAAAAGTTCTATTAACACCTTTTATTCAGTTTTTAACCATATCAGTGAGAATCAAGTTTTTCAAATTTTCCGTATGACCATTTTTCCACATCAGAAGGTAGCCGTGACTCTCAAAGAAGACACAATTTGGATTTCTCCTATCTCCAAAATGTTTATCAAACCCTGTACTTCACAGGCTTTTGAAACACGTAAAAAATAAGTAAGAAATATTCCAATGAATGAAACATACCAAATGTCAGTAATAAGTGACACATTCCTTTGGGGAAATGGCTGTTTAAAAAAAAAAAATCCAGTCTATATATGCAAAGTAAGCAAGGAAATTCAGTCTTTTTTCTTCTTCTTCTTTAAAAATCCGTTACTCCTAAAACATCGTTCCACAAAATGGGAAGTAAAAGACTGAAAGGCCAAGAGAAGGGGAAAGGGAGGGAGCACACACCATTAACACAAAAAGTAAAATTGTACAAACTGAAGCAGTTTATAAACAGACTGGGGTCATACTCCAAGACACCGAAGGATGGCTGAAGAATTCACCATTCTGCAGGAGCTGGGGTTACAGGCTTGGCGAGGGTGAGTGGGAAGCAATTCACTGCCTCGGAGCAATTCCCCTTCCTACTCCAAACCCCGGCTTCTGCACCATTCCTCCGCGGGGAGGGCCTCTCATGCCGCCGCCCAGCCCACCTCGAGGGCCCCCAGGTCCCCGCAGACGGTTATCGCGACGGTCCCCTTCCCTGGCAGCGCGAGTCTTCTTCTCTTCCACATTCAGACGGACTTCACCTCTGAACATGATGGGCTGAAAGAACCAAGGTGGCCACACTTACTCCGCATGCACGGAGGAGCAGCACCTTTTAAATCAGGTAACTTCCCACAGTTCTTCTTTTGAGCTCAGAAAACTATTTTTCCCATTAACAAAACACATGGGAATATGATCCGGTATGAAGGCTAGTTCAAAAGAGCTGACTTAAACAGTACCACAGCAGTTAAGTACCTTTTATTGTACTTAAGAACTGCCACTTTCTCCATGGATTTAGAGGCTTCAGGTAAAACATCACATAATATGGAAAGATGACACATTATATATTTATATAAAATATGTACGCATAACATGGTGTTGATGTTATTACAATGATGTAAATAAAACTTAAAGAGTTGCAAATGAAGAGCCAGGCAGGTTAAGGTACCTGTCTCATGGCTCACACTAGTGAAGAGGATGCAAAGCAAGTCCTCTTGACTGGGTGCTTAAAACCACTACGCTACATGGGGGCATGTCACACACCATGGTCATCAGGGTTATGTAACCTATTTCTGTACTCACAAAAATATTACTGAAGGGAGTACAGCAGACCTCTATCAGTACAGAGAAATGAAGAAAAGCCACGATACATGTGAAGTTCCTGAAAGCACAAAGGAGCGATCAGAGAGTACAACTCCCAGGTAGGTCTTTTAACACCGATGGCTAAGCATATTGAAATCAATTACATTTTAACTCTAAGACACAGCTATGAAGATGTTCTACAGAACCAGAAGGGAAGGAGGGAAGGGGATAAAGAGAAACTGCTTACCCTGTTGCTCAGGACCTTCTGCACAGGCTCAGAATCATCAAACACAACAAAACCAAAATTGGGTAATTTCCCACCACTGTTGATGCGCAGCTCCACCACATTTCCATAATCTGCAAGCAAAACCGACTCAGATAAATTAGCAGAAAGCTTCCCTTGAAATATCAGATGTCCACTGTCCGGTAAGGCAACCACTAGATCCATGTGGCTGAGCCCTTGAACTGTAAGCTAGTCCACAATGAGATGCAGCATGAGTAAAATATGCAAAAAAGAGTTCAAAGACTTTGCATTTTTAATAAATAACTATCCCTTACTGAAAATGCAGAGATCAGAACTATTTTCAGGTTTTGGATTATTTTGTATTTTGGAACATTTGCTCATGTACATACTGAGACATCTTAGGGATGAGATCGAAGCCTGAATATGAAACTCACTTCTGCCTCATACACAGCTTACACAGACAGCCTGAAGGCATTTAAATGTCTGCAGAAGGTGTGCAAAATGTGTGCATTTGGACTGGGACTCATGACGCAAAGCCAGGCACGGACTTTTCCACTTGCAGCACACTGATGCTCAGAGTGTTTCAGGTTCTGGAGGATTTTACAATGTGGATTAAGGAAGCTCAGCCCGTATTTTGTAACACACTGAGTGATACCTCGTAACCCTTCATTAATTGGTTCCAGGGAACCAATGATGAAGGAACCAAACAAACTGTTTTGGCTGGAAAGGGCAGAGTCAGAGGGCAATACCACCAAGTTCTAGTTTGCAGGTCAGGACCAAACGCCAAGCACCAGGACAAAATTTCTCAATCAAAATGCATCTGGTAGGGGCCGGGGATTTAGCTTAGTGGTTTTGCCGCCTGCTGCGCAAGCGCAAGGACCCAAGTTCGATCCCCGGTACCAAAAAAAAAAAATGCATCTGGTACCAAATCTGATGAGATTCAAAACAGTTGAGTATGGAAGTACAGCATGTCTATTTTTACATGTTGAATGATAGTGTTTTCTGTTTGTTTGTTTTTGGTACCAGAGATCGAACTCGGGACCTTGCGCTTTCGAGGCAGGTGGCGCAACCACCCCGGCAAAATGATTCTGTTTAAATACAATGGGTTAAATAAAACACCATTAAAATTAAATTCTGCAGTTTCTTTGTATTTTAACATAATTACTGGGAAAACTTATATGCTGCTCATCTTCTATTTCTATTGGACAACGCTACACTAGATAAATGTGTTCAAAGCTCAGCAACCTACTTTGAAAGAAATCTTTAAGTTCTGATTTGTCCACCTCATGAGGCAGGTTACCGATGAAGAGCTGATGGCTGTCCGGATGTCTCACAATTCTTCGGGGTTCAACATCACCTTGTTCCCCAGCCTCACGGACTTCAGAAAAAAACAAAAATAGCAACGAAAAACTAAGTGACCTTTCTTCCGGAACTTTGCATATATAACATTCTTCTCTCTGCCCTAAATTCCATCAGCTCTATAAGAAGAGTATACAAGTATCAACTGGCCACCCAAAACAAGCCCTCACTCCAAACCACCTGCAGCACAGAGATCACCGTGTGAGCTCTTACTTGGTCTGGGTCCCCTCTGGGGAGGAATATTTATTCGTTGCTCTCGCACTCTTTGATCCCTCTGAGGCCTCTGTGGTGGAATCTGAGATTCAGGTTTAGACTCTGGACGGGGCTAAAAAATTTGTAAGTTAACTGTTGTGTAAAAAAAAAAAACAATGCATGCTTACTTTTTCTTTTTAAGTCTCTTAAAACGTCAGGTTTAAACTAGAAAGTGACAATCCCTTCACAAAGTTAAACACCTTGTACCCTTTTTTGTCATATATACAGGCTCCTCTTCTTTAAACTGGCTGAAATCACATCACCAAATACAAGTCAACCCGCCTCCCTCAAGCCGCAGTTCCGGTGGAAACTTACCTGTGGTGCTGGCACTTTCACAACGTGAGGAGGGATCCCAGTCACAGGAACAGCTCCGCTAGGAGGAAGGTTCTTACTGGTCACAGAAGCCCAGGAAAATGTCTACAGAACAACAAACTACATGCTTACACTACATGGCGAGATGATGTAAAGGCGATTTAACCCAATTTCCTACACATAATGTACATAAGTAGAACACTGTCATAGTCAGGGTGGTCGTTAAAAGTATCTTGAGATTCCTTTCTTCCACCTGCTCACAAATTTAGTATTTTAGTAATTTATTATTTTAGTAATTTTAGTAATTCTTGTGACTGATGACCAAGTATAAGCCAAATATGAAAAGCTTAAGGGTCAAACAAGCAACTTTCAGTCAATTTCAAATCTGTGCATCAAGTAAAACATTCTCTCCTCCAAAACCAGCTCAGCTCTTCCTTCCGATATGCCCTGTTGTATATTAACCAACTTTAGGATCATCTTATACATCTGTCCGTTCTGTTTAAAAGCCGTCACAGCTGGGAGGAGCAATTCGCAGGTTCACTTGTAACTCGGGGAGGCCAAGATTCCAGTCCAGCCTGGGCAACTTATTAGCAAGATCCTGTCCCAAAAAACTAGTGGGGTAGGGATGTAGTTCAGTGTGAAGACTATGGGGTTTAAACCCCATTACAGAAAAAGAAAAAAAACACCAAAAACCTGATTTTTTACCCTAAATATCTCATTTCCACTGGGGAGACTAGTCCAAGGCACCGCCTCTCCCACCTGGACTATTCATAGTCACAGCCACCCAGCTGATCATCCGCCCACCCCGAGTGCAGCAGCCAGAAGCTAAGCATCTCAACGCTGTTTCTTGCCTGCCTGACTCCCAGGGAGCAAGAACTCTACTTGTTTTACCAATCAAAGTACTCGTACCTGTAACAATGCCTGGCACATTGTAGGCATTTGAGTAAATTTGTTAAACAAGTACATTATAAAAATACTGACCCTCTAAATATACTTATATATATTTGTATGTGTGTATATATAGACGTAATATATGTGGGGGGGGCGGTGAGTCAGGGTCTCACCATTCAGTTCAGGCTGGCCCTGAATTCACTATGTAGCCAGGCTGGCCTCGAACTCAGTGATCCTCCTGCCTCAGCCTCCCCCCAGGGCTGGAATTGTAGGTGTGTACCACTATGCCTGGCTTGACCTCTAAATACAGTTATTAACAATATTCCTTCCCAGATCATCAAAGGTAAAAGTTCTGCATCCCTAAAAGAAAAAAAAAAAAAAAAAAAGTTGTGTTCCTTTAACAAAAGATCCTAATGGTACTCAGGACTAACTGAAAAGCTTCTAACTTCTGAAAACAGGACAATATGTTTCTATTTCTACCTTATAAAGATATTCTCAATTATATTTCACCATATCATAACCCCAAATAACTATGCTTATACATTTGTAGTATTACTACAAAGTAATACTTTACAATTTAACAGACAATTCCCAAGACCAGGGGGTGTTGGTATGGTAATACAAATGGCACTTGGAATTCCAGGCCTAAGCAGCACTCAAGTTACCTTGGAGGGGGAGGAGCACACAGTGTCACCTCTCAAATTACAAAGCAATATGCATCACACCTCTGGAGACATGCCCCAGGATTTCAGAAATGTTCCTAAATAACCAATATGAAAAGCATCCACAAAACTCAATCGAGCATTTATAAAGGAGAAAAGAAATAGAATAAATGAAGACATGTTCCCTACCCTCAAGTCTTCCTGCACTGTCTGAGCTATGTCTGTAGGTGCGGGAGAAGAACTCTTCTGAGCATCCTCAGGAGCAGTTTCTTCTAAAACGGTCTCGGTCTTTTCCTCTTGGATTTCAGATGCAGGTTCTTGCTCTGGTTCTGGTTCAGGATCAGGCTCTGGTTCAGCAACGGGCTCCTCTAAATGTTCTTCCAGGTCATTGCTTTCACAGGATAATTTGAAAAATATCATCTGCCTCCATTGATTCAGCAAAAGTATCCCCATCATTCATTAACTGTAGAAAAGTAACTACCAGGGCTGGGAATATAATTCAGTGGTAGAGGACACGTTCAGCATGCACAAGGCCCTGGGTGGACCCCAGCAAAGAAAGAAAACTATCTCCCTCCTCTCAGAAAAGACCTAAGAATGTATGCATGTGTATATGTATGTTTGAGTTTAAAAGAAGCAACTTTTATAAAACCATTTGATGAATAAATATTAACTGAAAAAAGTTTATTTGCTAAATCCTTTAAGCAAATACATCGAAATAAATCAAAATGAACCAACAACTGCTTCTCATTCACTTGGAATTCCAAAACTATGAGAATTTGCTTATACAACATCATGAAAACTCATATACCTTACAGGCTTGGGAAATAGGGGAAGAGGAAAAGAGGAAGTTACTGCTTTCAACAGCAACGGTTTTGTACGATAGATAAAAACTTCTCGTGATTTTTTAAAAAATCAATGAGCATATATTTAAAACTATCATACTACACACTTGAAAATGAAGACAGGCCAGATGTAGTAGCGCACATCTGTAACTCCAGCACTCGGGAGGCTATGGAAAGGACCACCATGAGTTCGAGGCCAGCCTGGACGAGTACATAGTATGACCCTGCTTCCCCCTCAAAGTCAGGAGAGTACATTTTTTACATATATGGCTTTTTCCACATGAAAAACCTTACAAAAACACACTAGGAATTTTAGGAGGAAAAAAAGATACTAGCTATGACTGACAAAAGCTGTTAAACGTTCACACAAATCACCAGCAATGCTGGATATATTAAACTCTTGAGAAAAAAATCTCATTCAGGGCCAGGGATTTATGGTGCAGCCACCTGCCTCGCAAGTGCAAGGTCCCAAGTTCGATCCCCGGTACCAATGGGAAAAAAAAGAAAAGAAAAAAGAAATCTCATTCAAAATTTATTTTTCACTTAAAATCAGGAAAAAAGCAAAACCAAAAAGCAACTGATAAGATACCATTTTAAAAGTCTTCACAGGGGACCGAGGATTTAGCTCAGTGGTGCCGCCACCTGCCTCGCAAGCGCAAGGAGCCAAGTTAGATACCCAGTACAAAAAAAAAGGTCTTCATAATACATTTGATTACCAATTAACAAGGTACACTTTTTTTTTTTTTTTTTTGGTACCGGGAATTGAACTCGGGTCCTTGCGCTTGCACAGCAGGCGGCGAGACCACTGAGCCAAATCCCCGGCCCTAGGTACACATTTTTTTTTCAGTGATTCCAGACGGAAAACTTTTCTTCTGAAAAGACTACACAATGCAACTTCTTATACATCGCAACTTCTTATACATCCCTACACATGTGAATGTAATTTTCTTTACCTGACAGTCTGATCATAGAAAGTTCCAGAATCATCAGGTACAACCTCAGGTGTCTGCTGTCTTTCTTCAGGCTCCTCTACTTCTTCCTCAGATTCTAGAATGAGGAAAATATATACCAAATGATTTGTGCTTATTGAATTCACATATTCATTCTCTCTACTATGGTCAAATACACAATGAAATACACACATAAAAGAGAACAAGGTGACAGTGTAGACTTTAAGCATACATTACATCAATTAGTCTTTTGGTTCAAAACACGGAATCTCAGGTCTTATTTCCAGTATTCTAATGAGGCTCTTCCACCTTACTAGCCATATGACCACAGGCAAACTACTGCATCTCAGTGCCCTAATTAATTAATGAGAGAAAACAGTACCTCAAGTACCTATGTAGAAAGTTGTGTATGGTACTACAAATATAAAGCACTTCAAACAGTCTGTCAAACGAAAATATTCAAATACAGTTAGAGCCTATTTTCTTTGGGTCTGTTTCTCAACAGATTCCACACCTACCCTCCCTCTGGGTCTTCAAAGACATCATCTGTATGGCAATCTGAGAAGAAAGTACTTCCTCTCAGGGCAGACGGGAGGCATGTTTACTCCCTACTGTAAAAGATTTGGAGCTATTGTGGCTTTCCTCATGATAGCCTTCCCTGTGTCCTCCAAGGTGTACATTTATCTTACTATTTTTCTCTTTCACTCAGCCCAAATTCACTCTACAGAGCCAGTTTCTCCCTCATGCTTCACTTTTACTTTTCAAATAGACTTCATCACTGCTTCAAAGAAAGAAAGAAAGAAAGAAAGAAAGAAAGAAAGAAAGAAAGAAAGAAAGAAAGAAAGATTCGAGTTCCCCAAACTAAGGGTCCTACAACTTTACACAACTCATTGGCTTCATGATGTCTTGTGGAACGGTGCCAAAAAGGCTACTATTACTGCTGTAATAATTTTGTGCACCTGAGTCTGTCTTCTCTATACTTCCATGAACCAAGCTAGTTAAGTCAAAAAGGGTAAAACCACAGCTCCCTCGTCTCCTGAGATACTAATTATGAATGAAGAACACTGTATAATGGAAACATTCAAGAAGCCCATATTCTTTTAAGGTCAGTCTGATGCCATTTTTGAAATGCAGACAAGGAGGCGATAGCATTTCACTACTTACCCTCCTGAGGCTCAGTGACAAAGCCACCAAAGACTTCATCTTGGTATCTGAAGATATCATTATGAACATAGAATTTATTTGCAACAGAGCCCTGCAATGCCAACAAAAAGTTTCCATTATTCAACTGACTTTGAAAAAGCCAAATCACAGGCAACGTAAAAAGAACTCAGATACATGTACCAACTATCCACATTGAATGTAATAATTATATACTGCAAACATGTACTAATAAATTGGTTTTTAAAAAGCCAAATCACTCTACACAAATGGTCTTCAACTGTGGGAGAGCTTGTCCTCAGCAAATACTTGGCACTGTCTGGAGACATCTCCACTTTCGTAACACAGAACTGCTACTATCAACAGCTACCAGGTAGAGAGCAAGCATACTACTAAATACCCTACAATGCACATGACAGCCCCCTAAAGCAAAGAATTAGCCCAAAATGTCAGCAATCCAAGACTGAAAAGTCCTGTTTTACACTACAGATGTAAAAACAAAATTATACTCAAACATATTTTGTTTGCTTAAAATATTTATTCTCACAAGATTGAAAGCCAGAATCTGCCAGAATTCTATGTAAGATGCCGAAAACGAGTACCTCAAATCATTACGAGGCAATCGTGCTCCTAACTCCAGGAGACACTTCAAGTTCTCTACATCTGGATCCACCTCTGTCTCAAGCACTCAGGAATGGTATAGCCAAAAAAGCTTGCTTATACTAGGTGAAAGACTCCCAAGATCACACTGGGCGTTATTTACTGTTACCTAACTTCTAAGGCTATCTGCTCACCTATACAGAAGGTTATCTAATGACAGATACCTCACTGCTTATGTGTATTAAGACAGTTTAAGTAACCACAACTTGTACACAAGTTAAGAGTCTTCCCTTTAAAGAAAGATGACTTTGTTCAGTGTGAACCACCCTGAAAGAAGCACAAACCCAGTTACTCAGCGTAAAACCCGGGGCCTCTCATGTGACCGTGACTACAGAGGACCACAGAGCCCCTTATACAAACAGACAATTCCAACTTGGGGCTGAAGCAGCAGGAGTCCAAGATGAGCCTGGAACACTCTGTCCCACAATGTTTCAAAGTGTTCTTCCTTTGTTGGGATGGGGACACTGGCTGGGATGTAGCTCAGCCACAGAACACCCTGGGCTCAAGTCCCAGTAGTCCAAAAGATAAAAGAAAAGGCAGCTTGAGGGGCTCACACTGACTAAATCTGTCATACTTCAGACACAATATGAAGTTAGTAATGAAATCTAATTTATTTTGGGTTTTGTTTTTTGAGACAGGGTCTTACTATGTAGTTCAGGCTGGCCCTGAACTCACTATGTAGCCCAGGATGGCCTGCAACTCATGGCGATCCTCCTACCTCAGCTTCCCAAGTGCTGCAATTACAAGCATGTGACACCACGTCTGGCTTTTAATCCATCTTAAAAACTAATCATTTGTGCCCTTGAGTCTTAGGTCTCATGAATGGTAAAAGAGAAAGAAATGCCAACTAATAAATACAGAAAGATGGGATTAAACTCCACTTGTCATTATCAGAATAGTAACTGACTTCAGCTATGAATCAATTAACATCAAAATTAGTGTAAAAAATTTAATGCAGAATAAAATAATTGTAATTTCCGTCAGCCACAATTTCCAAATCAGAAAAGCAAAACTACTTAACCTTACGGTGGTAAAACCTGATGAACATGACTCTAAGCTACTCAAAGTTAACATCATTATTAATAGGACTTAATGATATAATCTGCCTCTTTAATTGAGGTACTGAAAGACATTTATGTATGAAATATTTATACCTACATCACTATGTTCTTCAAAAAATGTCAACAGCATGAAGATTAAAGAGCTACTGCAAATTAAGAGACTAAAGAGCGGGCCGGGGATTTAGCTCAGCGGTTCCGCCGCCTGCCTTGCAAGCGGAAGGACCCGAGTTCAATCCCCAGTACCAAAAAATAAATAAATAAAAATTTTAAAAAATTTAAAAAGAGACTAAAAGAGCTATCACAGCTAAATGCAATGTATTTCTTTTTTTGTGTGTGTGGTGCTGGGAAAGAATGTAGGCAAGTGTTCCACCACGGAGCTATATCCCCATCCCTGTAACTACAGTTCTGTATCCAAAACCTGGGGGAAAATACTATGAAAAACAACACTGGCATACTTGCCGAATCTTAAATTGGATTAGATAGTTTCCTGACTGTGACAACTGTACTCTACAAGCACGTATTCCTTACTCTTTGGGCATGCCCATGTAAGTACGTGAATATAACTAGACACAATGTGCCACTTCTTCACAAATGGTTTAGTAGAAAAAAATGAGAGAGAAAGAATTATGCCTATGTGGGCAAGTACTGACAGGGGCACTGGGTAAAGAGTACGTGAGTCACTGCACCATCCTTGCAACGCACCCTTTTTCGTCTTTCATTTTTACAGCATAAACAGTGATTACAACACATACCTCAGGAGCAAGGACAAACGTCTGCATGAACCTCCGCAAGGCCTGGTTGTTGTTCGAGAGCAGCCCCATGACCTGGACCACCACACCATCGTTCAGGGTAGCGTGCGCATCGACGTGACGGATCTTGGTGTGGCAGTTGGTGAAGTTCTGTGACATCACTTTCCTATGAATTTCCTGAAGAATCAAAGAGTTAAAGCCTTAAAATGTACACAACCTACACTTGTACCAACTCCCCATGATGAATATAATCAGTATGTACTGCAAACATACACTAATAAAAATTAAAATTAAAAAAGGAAACTTGGGCCAGGGATTTAGTTGAGTGGTTCTACCGCCTGCCTCACAAGCACAAGGACCCAAGTTGGATCCCCGGTACCAAATAAATAAATAAGGAAACTTACACACTCTACAACAAAACCCCCAAGAGATACAGATACTGTATGTGAAGTACAATACAGGCAGTCTCCATTTGTAGTTGTACATTCTGTGCCCAGGGACCTCTCTTAAACCCTTTAAGGTAACTGTCCTCAATTAGCACTTTTAAAACCTTCCAAAAGATGATCCCCTCGCTAAAACCAACTATCTTCTAACATGCAAAACCTTCAGAATGTATCATACAAAATGTACCAGTCTGACATCATATAAGCATTTCAAAAAACTATGTTAATCAGTGATAAACTACTAAACTTCAGCCAATCTGCTAAACATGGACTCATTTCGGTATTATAGGTCATTTTCTCGTTGTGTAAAGGCCTTCGAGTGTGGTGTGCTTACTTTCTGCCCATAGACTGCATCCGCAGGTTTTCCATTTGAATCCAATCCTCCATGGACATAGGAAGAGTTCTTTCCATAGAATCTGTAAAGGAAGGTCATTTCCTCGTCACCGTCAGGCACCCTAAGAGGGGGTGTGTACTTTCGAGTCTGGGGGCACCGACCTTCCTGGCAGAGCCCTAAAGACAGAAAGGCGCTAACTCTCCCTACCTTTCCACGTAGCCATCTGCCCGCCCCCTACATGGCTGAGTCACACCCCTGAAGGGGAGGGCTTCATCCCCGAGGCAGAACACTTACTTTTCAAGTCACAAGTCCCAGGTTTCAGAGCACGATGGCCATGCTGGGAATTATCTAAGAGTTTACGTCAGGAGGGTCGGTCACTTGAAACTAAAATTCCTGTTTCCACTAAGGAAAAGACAGGCAAGCTGGGGACAGCCCTGAAGAGTCTTGCGTGTGAGCAGTCCCACTCTACACCTGTTAACTCACCCAGGCGGCTCTAGGAGCAGTCTTAACAATTTCTGCTGCTGCAGTAAGAGCTTCAGATTTTAATCCCTGGAGCCTTAATTCACCTATATCCTCACTGTTTTCATCAAAACAATGCCCCACCAGAAAAACTACACACAATAAAATGTGCCAATCTAGGGATAATTGTTACAGGTGTTTCTCTCTCTACCAGATATAAACTTTTTTTTGAGATAGGGTCACGCTTTGTAGCTCAGACTGTCCTTGAACTTGCGGATCCTCCTGCCTCAGCCTCCCAAGTGCTGAGATCAACTTTTCTTAATAAAGAGGTACGAGGGCTGGGGATTTAGCTCAGTGGTGCTGCTGCCTGCCTCGAGAGCGCAAGGTCCTGAGTTCGATCCCCGGTAACAAAAAAAGAAGGGTCCCATACTCAACCCCACGCTTACTGAATAAACAAGTACACACATGTTACTTTATATCCTGGTTCCATCTTCCTTACTCCCTTTGCCTTTTTACCTCTAAAACTATTAAGAGGCTGGGCATGGTGGTAATAGTAAGACCCCCTCTCTAAAAAATAAAAATAAAACTATTAAAAGAATGCACATCAGCCAAAGAATCCATTAACTACTGGGTAAGCCACTTTTCACTCTGAAATGCACCTATGCACGTCAGAGACAAAGAAATGTGGTGCTGGGCATGGTGCCACACGCCTGCAATCCCAGCACACTCAGGAGACTGAAGCAGGAAGATGGCTGTGAGTTGAGGCCAGCCTGGGCTACAGAGACACCTTGTCTCAAAGGAAAAAAGAAGAAATCTTGGATGAGGGGACAAATTGTGAATAACATTACTGACAAGAAATACAGTAATGCATTCAGTTCATTTCTTTCAACTCCTTTTTAAACTACAAATTTGAACTTCCAACGATAGACTAAAACACTGACATCAAACAACAAAAAGGCAGAAAAATAAAGGAACAGTTTAAACAGTTTGGAGGCTTGTTGTACCTCTTAACAGATATGTGAGTATCAGCAGATTTTAACTTCTCCTAGCTTCTGTATCTACAATTATTACGCCTTACAAAATGCTAAGGATGAAGAAACAGGTAGTGTTTCAGAAATAAAGCTTTAAAAAAGAAAAAGTAGGCCTGGGGATTTAGCTCAGTGGTGCCGCCGCTTGCCTCGCAAGCACAAGGACCCAAGTTCGATTCCCGGTACCAAAAAAAAAAAAGAAAAAAGAAAAAGTGTATCTATGTTCAGAGCAAACCCAATCATGGCCTAAAAATGAATTTATAAATTTTCTTTTATACCTCATAATCATGTAATATGCTGGTCAAAGAATAAAGGAAAAAATAGTTCTGGTTCAGCAAACACACATGTTGTCACTTAACATGAAATTATTCTACCAGTCCACACAAACAGATGGTTTTATATAATGCAGCACTGTGAAAGGTAGTACCGGTGGTAACCTGCATCATAAGTAAAGTATGCTATGTCTCTTTAGGCACAAAAATTAACATGACACATGGACTGCCCAGAAAAGTGACCTTAAATTACCAATTTAAGTTATCTTAAAAAAAGATGGTGTTCTGAAATATATTTGCATCTACACAGAAAAACTGTTAGCATCCTCTTTCCAGATGCTTCCATAATTTTTTGTGTGTGTGGTGTTGGACTGGAACCCAGGGTCTATTGCATACTATTCTACCACTGAGGTACACTCCCAGGCCTTGCAAGTTGTTTTTTTGTTTTCTGAATCAGGGTCTCACGGTGTGGCTCAGGCTGGCCTCGAACTCAGGGCAATCCTCCTGCCTCAGCCCCCCTAGTGCCAGGCTTACAGGTGTGTGCCACCATGCCCAGCTACCTTTGCAAATTTTATGCATCTGTGGTTTAACTTATAACAAGCATACATCATTGCCACTAAAAAGATATACCAGTTTGCAAAAGCATGCTAACAAAAACAAGTTATCACAGAACACTCTCAAATCTTCAATTTTTTTCTTTTTCTCTTTGGAGACAAGGTCTTGCTACGTGGTCAAGGCTGGCCAGGAGGCCGCTCACTCTCAGTCCAGGTTCATCTCCACCTGAACTGTGGCAGCCTGAGTGAAAAAGTTACGGGCAAACCCCACAGCTGGCTTTCAGTACATTCTTCCTAAGTAATGGTGACTACCCTTTTACATTTTCAGATGTTACTTGCTGATACACGTTCAGATAAGTCTACTTTTCTAATACAGACTTCATTTTTAAAATTCTTCTACGTGACAGGCACGATGGCACAAGCCTGTAATCCCAGAACTCTGGGAAGCTGAGGCAGGAGGATCGCAAATTTAAGGCCAGCTTAGGCAACTTAGAAAGATCCTGTCTCAAAATAAAAAAACACAAAAAAAGGGCTGGGGATGAATCACAGGGTGAAGGCCCTGGTTTAAACCATAGCTACTATGCAACAATCCCACAGGGCTGACGAGTGGTGTCTCACCTGTGCAGCATGTCCGGGGCCTGGTTCAGCAGCGTGTAATACTGCCTCACAAACTCCCGCCCGACCAGCAGGGGACTCGGCTTCTCCATAACCATTGCTTTGGTCAATTTAACCTGGAAAAAAGATTCAAAAATCAAGTTGTATCCAACCTGAAAAAAATTCTTACATGACACAGTCCAACTTTTTGTGTAAAGTTTGTGGCGGTTTTTTTGGTGGTACCTCAGATTTGAACACAGGGCCTTTTAAATTTTTGAGACAGGGTCTCCACAAACTGCCTAGACTAGGCTGGAACCTGCATAATCCCCCTGCCTCAGCCTCCCACAGTGCTGGGATCACAGGCATGCACCACCACACCCAGTTTTGTCTGCTTCAACAGGATGGGCAAAAGGAATTTTGATCATCTGAGAACAAGCAATTTGAAGAGATAGGTTTGCCTTGATCTAGGTCATCGATGTGTTTTTTCTTTCCTCTGAGATGGGGCCTCAGCGTATTGCTCAGGCTGGTGGTGTCCCACTCCTGGGCTCAGGCAATCTTCCTGCTTCAGCTCTGCAAGCAGGTAGGCTTACAGCCTAACACCATGTCTGGCTCCTGTAATTCACCACTATCTATCTGCTCCACCTACTTGTTTCACCAAAATCTCAGTTCAAGGCTGTTCTTTAAGAAGCACAGCACCTACACCAATGGAATAAATCCTTGTCTTGCTGGAAGAGTCTGCCTGCAGGCACAGTGAAGACAGCAGCAGTAAGGAACATCAAGCGCCTAACAAAGTAATATTCCAAGTACACTAACCTCAAACAGACTAAGCCTGGCTCCTGGTCTAAAATATTTCAGATTTTCTTACTGGTTTCAGATTCTTCAAAATTTAAAGACAACATTAGAGATTATTCATAGTTATCTAAGTTATAGTATCTATAACATCATTTCCATGTTTTGACATTTTTCCATTACCTTAGATAAACCAAATTCTACATTTTTATATTTTAGAGTTCCATGTAAATTTTCCTTTCTAAAAAGTTAGAAGGGCAGGGGATTTAGCTCAGTGGCACCTCGAAAGCACAAGGTTGTGACGTGAGTTTGGATCTCGAGTACCAAAAAACAAACAAAAAGGATTAGGAAAGAATGATTTGTAACTCAGTAGAGCACTTCTCTAATATGATCATCTCCTTGGGTTCCTTCCCTAAAACCACCAGAAAAAATAAAAAAGCAGCCAGGCATGGTGGTGCACACCTGGAATACCAGTACTGGAGAGGGTGAGAAGCAGGAGGATCACCACAGGTTTGAGGACCACCTGGGCTACCCAGTGAGTTCAAGGCCAGCCTGAACTACATCTCAAGACCGTCTCAAAAAACCAAAACAAAAAAAAGCTGATTTACTGAAAGAATGCAAGCTTTTTCCTAAATAGCAATTTTTGAGGGGCAGGAGGGGACACGTTCTCCCTACATCACCCAGTCGGGCCTCAAACTCATAGCCATCCTCCTGCCTCAGCCTGTCCAGTGCTGGGATTATAGGCATGTACTACCACATCTGGCCCTACATACATTCCTTTTCTTTTAAGACTACATTTATTAAGAGCACAGACAGACTATATCCTACTCAACTTTTTAGGCACACCTATAAAGTAATAGCCGACATACAATGCACACCAAAGTATTTTAATTTTATTAAACAAAAAGGGGTTTGGGCCGGGGATTTAGCTCAGTGCTTTCACCGCTTGCGCTGCCTGCTGTGCAAGCGCAAGGACCTGAGTTCGGTCCCCGGTACCAAAAAAAAGCGGGGGGGATTAAAATTCTATACAAGTGTATTTCTTTTTTTTTTTTTTTGGTACCAGGGATGGAACTTGGGTCCTGGGGCTTTCGAGTCAGGAGGCAGAACCACTGAGCTAAATCCCCAGCCCCCACAAGTGGATTTCTGACCACCTAACAAAACTGAATTCTCGGATTTCCTCTTATTTAGATTAAGACAGCAGATACAACACTTTTGTTTTTTGTTTGGGTTTTTTTTTTTTTTTTGGTACTGGGGATCGAACTCAGGACCTTGCACTTTTGAGGTAGGCAGTGCCATTGAGCTAAATCCCCAGCATTTAACATTTTTATTAATGAGTAACTGAAGACCAGAGAGAAAAGCTAAGGCAATAGCAATCAGAAAGCGGTTGCCTGAGAGAAAGGCCAAGGCAGAAGGGTCTCAAGTTCTGCCTGGGCAATTCAGTGACTTAGTGAGACCTTGTCTCAAAATTAATAATGAAAGAGTCAGGAGATGTAGCTCCACGATGGCCCTAGGTTCAATCAATACCCAGTACCACCCATTAAACAAATTATTTGGGTGATGGCGACACGAATACAATTAAAAACTTTTAAAAATGAATTGTACAATTCTGCATCTTTTATTCATCCATATTATGCTTTAAAACCTCTAACGTCCTTCCACAGTAAAAGAGTCCTAGAGGTATCACCACCACATACCAGAGTGCTCACAGGCCTGTTCTGTAGGGTGGAGCCTCCCCGCCTGGGTGTTCAGTGTGAGTCGGGCCACCCTGAGGCAGAGGGCAGAGAGCAGGAAAGCAGAGAGCACAGAGCACTCCACAAGGCCCTCCAGTAGTTTAAGTCCACACACTGAAAATTGGGGGAATAATGGTAATTTTCAGTTTAAAAAATTAGTCTTTAATCATTCTCAGTAAAATGAGAATACACAAAATTTTGGCAATTTGAGCCCCAAAACACTAGAATCCACATAAATAATCTCTATCAATTCTAATTAGGAAAATTTTGTTTCATAAAATCTTTTGACCCAAACATAAAATACAAATATTTTACTTATAATAATTCCTTTAAAAACTCTTTAAACTCACTCATTCATCAGTTCTCAAGTCTATCAGATCTAAAATAATGAGAGTAAGATTCATCACAGAAAGGACAGCTGCTAGTCCACTGTAACAAACATTTTACAAAAATTATGCCTAACTCAGTGGTTCCACCGCCTGCCTCGCAAGGGCAAGGTCCCCAGTTTGATTTCCGGCACCAAAAAAAAAAAATTATGCCTATCAAGGACAACACACGCACCCAGATCTTGCAAGTTTCAAGAGTCTCCCTTCTTTCTCACAAACGTCCCTGTGTACTTGAGCTTGGGAAGAGCTGGCAGAAACAGCCACACTGCAGGCTCAGGCTGTCCCCAATGTCCAGGCAGCACTGCTGGTTCAACTACGAAGCCTGAAACAAAACCAGGAGCTTGAAGCGAGCCACTTTTGTTCTTTCAACTGCCAACAGCAACTCTCCCCATGCTTCTGGGCCTGCTCAGGACTTTCTCAGAGATAGGCACCACTAGCCAGGGCATGGTGGACACACCCATAATCCCAGTGCTCAGGAGGCTGAGGCAGCAGGAGGATCAATCGCCTACAGTTCTACCCAGTCTGGGCAACGCAATGCGTTCAAGGTCTGCCTGAACTATGTACCGAGGCCCTGTTCCAAAAACCCAAAAAGTTAAATAGATAGATAAATAGATAGACAGACAGACAGATAGATAGATAGATAGATAGACAGACAGACAGACAGACAGACAGATAGATAGATAGATAGATAGATAGATAGATAGATAGCAACATAAAACAGTGCATATTTCAAAGTGAACGAAAACCTTCTCTTTTTTGAGACAGGGTATCAATAAGTAGTTCAGGCTGGCCCAGAACTCCCAGCCCTCTCGCCTCAGCTGGCCACACCTGACTTGAAAATGCCTCCAATTGTCTCTAGGGAAAACTCAACCACCACTTGCCAGTAGCTGGCTGCCAACTTCATCTCCAGAGCAAAGCCCTGGGTTCAATCTCCAGCACACAAAAAAATCCAAGTGTTACGTTCTAAGTCCTGACAGTGCTGAGTAAATGCAGCTGCTATTGTTAGCACTAAAATATTAACCACACTGCTGCTCAGGCGCCAAGAACCCGAGTTCGATCCCTGGTAGCCAAAAAAATAAATAAAAATAAAATATCAACCACAGGGAAAGTACTTCTATATTCCACCCTTTCCTGTCCCTAAAAGGAATATTTCCCTACCCTAGGGAAATCAGAATAGGGTCACTTCCTGCGAGAATGAGAAAGGCCACAGCCCTGGGACCACAGGTGCCCTGAGTCTCCCCAAAGAGAGAATGGAAGACAACTCACCTGTGTGCTCAGACTGGAAACCAAATCCTTAGCGCACATCCTAACATCTTAACTTTTAAAACAGCACCACAGCCAGGTGTGGTGGTGCATGCCTATAATCACAGCACTTGGAAGGCTGAGGAAGAAGGATCACTGAGAGTTCTAGGCCAGCCTACACCGCACAGGCAGATCATGCCTCAAAAGGTAGAACATGTAACTAGCAATTATAAGTTACTAGTAAAATGCAAATTAAAACCTATCACTTCCCCGCTAAACTTGAGAATACTAAAACCTGAATCAATACCAAAACCTGGCAAGCAGGCAGGAAAAGCATGTCGAGCAAGAATGCTAAAGACAGAGCCTCAACTGGTACAACCACAGTGGGGAACAAACTGCAGTTAGCAGTCCACATTTTCGTTTGGTTGGTTTTTTTCTCAGCTCCACAAATGCTGGGACATCACACCAGGTTGTTTTTGTGATCTAATGCTGACGAATCTAGCAATTCTAGGCCCATATATATGAGAAACAAATCCACTTGCATAAGACAAAAACAGAAGGCTGGGCATGGTGGTGCATACCTGTAATCCCAGCACTCGTGAGGCTGAGACAGGAGGACTGCCTAGAGTTTGAGGCCACCCTGGGCTACATAATGAAGAGACTGTGTTTCAAAAGAGTGAAAAAAAAAAAACAACAACAAAGACAAACAGAACTGCTGGCCCCCCTAGGTAAAACTGGCAACAACCTACATGTCCATCAAATGGAAGATGGACAAATTCTGGCTTATTCTCCATTGAAACCTCCTTATCTAAACTAATGACATACTGCTATAAGATTTAAAACCGGGACTATTAATAATTATACCAGATTAAATGGAATAAAGTAAGATTGCTCTTTGGGCCAGGATTGGTGGCACATGCCTGTAATCCCAGCACTCAAGAGGCTGAGACAGGACTGCCCAGAGTTCAAGGCCAGCCTGAGTTACAGAGACCCTGTCTCAAAAAAGGGGGAAAAAAATTGCTCTTTGCAAACCAAGACACTATACTGCCACCCAGTTTATAGCTATCAGGAAGTTATCATGGACTAGAGCTCAAAAACAACATTAAAATAAAGTCAGTGAACATAGGCTTGATGGCACATGCCCAAAATCCGCTCTACTGGGGAGTCTAAGAGGACAGCTACTTCAAGGCCAGCCTGCACAACTTAGTGAGACCCCACCTCAAAATAAGGCAAAAAGGGCTGAAGCCACAGTTCAGCTTTCCCAGGGTTTAACACCCAGAACCCAGAAAACTTGCCAAATATGTACAGTATGATAGTGTGAAATACTCAAACTTTTTATTAAGCTACACAGAGCAGTACTAAATGTTATTCATAGATAAGTACATAAATTGATTTTTAGTAAGTCAGACATAAAAATAAACATGCAGGGCCAGGGATGTAGCTCAGTGGCACCGAGCCTGCCTGGCAAGCCTAAGGTCCTGAGTTGATTCTCAGTACCAAAAAAAAAAAAAAAGTTAAAAATAAAACATGCAACAAAAACAGAGTTCAGAAATATACCCCACCTGGGTGTGGTAGCACATGCCTATAATCCCCAGCACTTGCCAGCCTGGGGAACATGAGTTGTTTTTTTTTAAGTTGCAATACAAGGTAACCCCAGTTGCTCAGTAACCTCTGGGGTTTTTAAAGGGACATTTTCCTGTACTTTTCAAATAAGGACATTTCGAAATTCATCTTGACCCAAGTATTAGGTATCCCTGAGAATGAATGGTGGTCTGCAGGGACATCCCAGCCCCACCTCCCTTGCCTGTATGCTGCAGCTTTAACGGGAAAGTCCAAGACCGCTGCTTCCTGAGGTTCCAGTTACTCTCTCCAAACTGTCTCCTGACACAGCTGCTGAAGGTCGCAATGTATATTTCACAGGAACCGATGATGCCAAGCCCTTATAAAAATCCTACAAACTGGGCAGGTGGCAGGTTAAACATCTGTAATTCCAGCACTCCGGGAGGCTGAGGCACAACTGGTAAATTCAAGCCCAGCCTAGGGAACTTAGTGAGACCCTGTATCAAGACAAAAAGAATGCTGGTGTGATGTAGCTTCAGTGTGACAATCCTGAAAATCTCCCGTATGACAAAAATGGAAAAAAATCCACAGTAACAGAAATACAGATTTTCTGGGGACAGAGAGAGGACAGCTGATAGAAAAGAAAATATAAGAAAATGGTGGGGGGGGGGGCAGCTTCACTATCTTCACTGTGTGAGGGTTTCATAGGTACAAACTTGCCCAAAAAAACCGAACTACACACTTTATGTATGTGCAGTTTATTGTCGTTATAGCCAGTAAAGCTGGGTTTTGTTGTTTTTTATGTTTTATTTTAGTGGTGCTCAGGGATTGAACACAGGACCTTTGCACTGGGCTACATTCCTAACCCTTTTGTACACTGATAGGGTGTCCTCCCTATGTTGCTAAATTGCCCAGAATGGGCTCAAACGTTTGAGTCTCCTGCTTCAGCATCACAAAGTGCTGGGGTTAAGTTGCATTTGAAAGATTTTCTACCTCATAAGCCTAAGGATGTAGTTGGGAATGGAGCCCTTTCCTGGGGCGCAAGAGGCCCTGGTTCAGCCCCCACCATGGACGTTACAGTTCAGTGTCACGACCTTCCAAGCTCCCAGGCGCTGAGACAGAGCTGGATGGCTACAGGTACCTGTCATGTAGGAAGGATTTCTCTCCCTCCCTATCCTCCCTGGCCACCAAGACGGGAGCAGTTTTCCTAAGCCCAGACCCTTCCCTGTGCCAACTTCCTTCTCAACTGTGCACCAAAGCAAATCTCCCCAAGTTGCGGGTGTCAGGTATCCCGGTGAGGAACACAGTGACTAAGACAACCACAAACACAAATCCACCTCTTCAGTAAAAGAGCCCGGAAGGACACAACAAAGGTCACAGGAGAGGAGAAAAAGGAATGGAACTTGTATAGAAAAAAGGTTTTAGTCTTTAAAAGCAATGCAAAATGTTAATTACCAAATTTGAGTACAGCGACATTTAAATGATCTTTTTACTCTATTTCATAAATGTATGAAAACCACACTAAGAAAACAACCTGGTGGTGCATGCCTGTAATCCCAGCATTCTGAGAGGCTGAAGCAGGAGGCTGAGGGAAGAGGCAGTCTAGGTCTAGCCTCAGCAACTTTGGCAACTTTAGCAACTTAGGGAGACCTAGATCAAAAATGAAAAAATGGGGCCAGGAATTTAGCTAAGCAGTGCCGCACCTGCCTAGCAAGTACAAGGTCCCGAGTTCAATCCCTAGTACCAAAAAAAAGAAAAAGAAGGGCCAGGGATTTAGCTCAGTGGTTCTGCTGCCTGCCCCAAAAGCACAAGGACCCAAGTTCAATCCCTAGTGGTACCAAAAAAAAGAAAAAGAAAAAGAAAAAATCTGAGAAAATTTCTGCTGGAGAGTATGAGCTTAGGCCCTGTGTTCAATCCAGAACATTTAAAAAGATAAACAGGCCAGGCTTGGTGGAACATGCCTACAATCCCAGCACTCAGGAGGCTGAAGCTGGAGAATTATCACAAGTTCAAGGCCACCCTGGGCTACATAGTGAGCTTAAGGCCAGCCTAACCCTGAGTCAAAAAAAAGGAGATACTATTATATGGCCACTTAAATAGCCACCAAAAATTATATCACTACAAAGCAGACATGTGTCCAATAAGGCAAATTTCTCTAAATCACCTTTAATTTTTACATTTTAAAATTAAAAACCTAAAATACAGCATATATGCCAAAAAGTTTATTATTACGAAAACTAAAGATTCCATTTACTAAGCCAAAGCCTGTGACAAAAAAAAATTTTATATTGCTTTTTGCTTTTTTGAGACAGGGCCTCACTTATGTAACCCAGGTTGGCCCCTAACTCACAGGGATCCTCCAGCCTCACTCTTCCAATGCTAGGATTAGAGGTGTGCCCCACCACACCCAGCCATTATTGCTTTTTGCTTTGCAACACAAGCTTTTCAGCGTATTATTCCTAGCTCTTAAACCTCTCCCCTATCTTACAACTCAGCCTTCCCAAATAAGGCAGGATAAAGTGTCTACAAACAAATAAAAAGTAATCAGAAAGCAGATTTTTCAAATATAAAGTATAAACTGTGTTAGCTGCCAGAGGGATTACCAACTACAAGTGGGACTCCAGCTGCTGGATCTAAATTTAACTTGGCAGTTTGGAAGGACAGTATAGGTTTTTCCACTAACTGTTGACAACTGACTGGGGGGGGGGGAGGGCTTTTCTTTTTTGACCTGCCTACTTTTACAATTATCACCTTTACAAAATCAGGAGAGCTCTATCTAAGGCAATGGAAAAGCACACGTAATTAAATGAAGAGCACAACCCTTAAAAAAAAACAAAAACAATATGCAGAATGTAAAAACACTATACAGGCAGTCTCATTAAATTCACAAAAATAAAACAAAGTTTGACTTTAGTCACACACTTAGGTTTATATTAAACTGCATCTTTTAACACTGGCCTCATCCATCCAAAGAACCACACTCAATTATAAACCTATAAAAATGTAACACTAACTTGTGCCTTTTATTTCCTATGCAAAGTACTAAAACAAGCTTTTAAAAAAATCCATAATGCAAACAAAACTGCTTTAAAGCAGGCCAAGAGCAAACATTACCAATGTCTCCTAATGTTCCTGGAGTGAACTATCAAGTGAAAACAGCAAACTGAGTGTGAGTTAGGAAACAAAGAAGTGCCTATTTTTCCACCTGTTAGTTTAGTCTGAAAGGCATGAACGCCAATAAAAGAAACCCGTGACCTGGTTGGGCAGTAGGGAGACTCCACTTTTATTACCCCAATCTGCTTCAGTTGACTTGTGCTTGACAAATGGATGCACAAGTGATCAACCTGTTCAGGTACCAGTTCAGGAAATAATCAATGTTCTTTTTCCCACCCAAATGAGAACCATTTGCCTGAGGCCAAAATAGTACAGTGTAACTTTTTAATATCTGAAGGTGATAGTAATAAAATTTTCCCTCAGGTAGCAAGAAAGGTAATCTCATTCTGATATATTTTTTCTGGTGCACTGAAAACAGCTAAATAAACGTAGTTTAAATAGCATCATAGTGTTTGTTTGTTTTTTTGCGGTACCAGGGATCGAACTCAGGACCTTGCGGTTGCAAGGCAGGCAACAGTGCCACTGAGCTAAGTCCCCGGCCCCATCATAATGTTTCAACATTTAATAATACTCATCTTAGTATTAAATAAAAATACGAATATAACAGCTTATCTCCAAATGCAAATGAACAGGGACATGGGGCAAGTTCAGGTAAAATCACATTATACTCTAGAGCAATCTGTTCTTTATGGCATCACCAACAAGTAAGAATTTGTGCATGCAATGTCTTAATCTTTTTTATCAATTGCTTTCCAGTAAGAAGAGGAAATAGTTGCTAAACAGAAGCATAAATATTAAATTTTCTCAATTTGTAATTTCTTTAAAAGGATATGCAATCAGGCAAGGTGGTGCACACCTGTGTTCCCAGCACTTGGGAGGTTGAGGCAGGAGGATCGCTGTGAGTTCGAGCCCACCCTGAATAGCAAGATGCCATCTCAACAAAACAAAAAAAGACATGCAGTGTTTCTTCTGATTGCAAACACACACACAGAAAAACAAGATTGATTGTGAAAAGCATCTGTACATTTCTTTCTAAAAAACAAGCTAAAAAAAAAAACCTAAAAGCCATTCAATTCAAAATTAACTTTGAAGACCTAGTCTCAAAACTTGCCAGTTTTGTCTGAAGTACATTGTGATGTAAAGTTAAATGATTAGATACAGCTCAAATATAAAAACACTTAATCCAAAACCAAGGAGTATACTGGTTATAAAATAATGTCATCTAGTCAAGTCTGGTGGCACACACCTGTAATCCGACCACTGGGGAAGCTGAGGCAGGAGATCACGGTGAGTTCAAGGCCAGCCTGGGCCACACAGTGAGACCCTGCCTCAAAAAATAAATACTGTAATCTGAAATACAATATCTGTACAAGAAAATAAAGTCAGTCCTCGAAAGGAAGGTGCCTTTCTTTACACACAGGAGCTTACAGGAGATGCTAAAAAAGTGAACTGAGGGCCGAGGATTTAGCTCAGTGGTTCCACCGCCTGCTGCGCAAGCACAAGGACCCAAGTTCGATCCCCGGTAGCCCCCCCCAAAAAAAGTGAAATGAACACAGAGAGGTTCATCCCAGGAAGACCCTAACTACTCTAAGTGAGAAAGAAAAACCTATCGTTTCCAACCCAGACTCTGGTGAGGCACTAAATCTGCATTCTGGACCTCATTTTCTTCAACTGTGAAGTTAATCTTCCTGAAGATCTTTCCCCAAATCTGTTTGGATTAAAAAACATGCCGAGTGAAGTGATGCACGCCTGTAATCCTAGTACTGGGAAGGCTGAGGCAGGAGGACTGCTTCGAATTGAGGCTGTCCAGATCTACACAGCGAGACCCTGTCTCAAAATAAAAAACACGGAGCGCTATGCCTGGTGGTCCATGGCTTTAATCCCAGCTGAGGCAAGAGGCATAAATTTGAGCCCAGCCTGAGCAATTCAGTGAGGGAGCCTCGAAATAAGAGAGGGCTAGTTGGGTGTAGTGTCGCATGCCAGTAATCCCAGCATTTGGGAAGCTGAGGCAGGAAGATCGTGTTAAGGCTATTCCGAGGCTGGCCTGGGTTCTGTGAGTTGAAAGCCAGCCTGAACTACACAGTGAGACCCTGCCTCAAAAAACCAAAACGAATAAATTAAATAAGAGAAAAAAGGTCGGAGAGACAGCCCAGTGCAAAGGGTTTGGGTTCAATCGTCAGCACGGCAGCATAAACAAAATAATTCTAAGGAAAGATCGGACATCTAACAGAGGGGCTGACCTCCTCCAGGAGAGCATTTCCCGTCCCCGCCCTCCGAGCTTCAACCCTGCCGGGGGACCCAGTCCACGTTCATTCACACCCACCCATTCTCTTCGCCTTTCCAGAAGACGAGCGGCCCGAGCCTCTTCCTTTGTCACGCCCCACGGCCCCGGAAGCGCCGCGCCGCCCGGCAGCTCGCGCGCTCAGCCTCCGGAGGCCGCGCCGCCCGGGGCCGGGGCCCAGGGGCGAAGGTGCCCGGAGGTGCACAGGGGCACGGGAGCAGGGGTGGACCCGACCCAAGCCAGCGCTGCCGCCGCCGCCGCCGCGCGAGCAGCCAGGACAGTCGCGCCCCGCGCTTCCTCCGCGGGCCCAACACGGCGGGGGCCCAGGCCCGGAGCCCGCCCGCCCTGAGCGGGGTGTCGGCCGCGCTCGCTCGCTTCCTCCCGTGTGGCCGGAGGACACAGCGCGCGCCGGCGGCAGCCTCGGCCACGCGCTCTGGGGCCGGCAGTGGGGGGGCCGCCGCGTGCCCGTCGCGCGCGCCGGCGGCCGTTGGGGTGGGGGGGGGGGGGGGGGTGGGGATGGGGGACGCGGCTCGCGCGGCCGCTCCTCAGACTTCCCTCTCACGACCGCCCCACCTGTCCCGGTCCACGGGCCGCCCCGCCCCGCCCCGCCCCGCCCCGCCCACATCCCGGCGTACCTGCGCGGCTGAGCGGGCGAGGAACAGGCTCTGCTCCACGGCACGGAAGGTAGCAGAAATCCTTCAGGCAAGTGCGACCGCACACACGCGTGCTCCTCCGCCGGCCTATATAACGGCACCTCAGCCTAACTTGATGCGGCCAGGTCGGGCGAGCACATGACCAATCCCGACTGCGTCTCCTGAGCTCCTCGGGCCACAATTGGGTATTGACTCAGGATGAAGGCGTGGCTCTTGATTGACTTTGAGTCGTGCCTACGAGACGCGGAGGATCTCGCGTCTCCTAGTAACGGATTGGCATTGAGGACTACCAATAACTGCGACGCGTACTGGAAAGGAGGACGGGCAGTTCTTTGACTGATAACGGTAGTAGCCAATAACTGCGTGGAACTGCTTTTATTGGTTAAAACTACTTCCGTTGGGCGGAGATCCGTTTTCCATGCAGGGGCGGTTGCTCCACAAGGTGGGGCCCGTGTACTTTGGGGAAGTAAACCCCAAGCAACTAAGAGGTGGGCGCCGGAGAAGCGGAGTTAGCCGGCCGACCAATCGCAACGCCGGAGGGAGCTGATTGACACGGGGGCAGGACTATTCCAAAGAGAGCCCCAGGTCCTCGGTTCCCACAGGGGTGCTTAGTGAGAGGCGGCACCGCCTGCGGCTTGCGTACCCTTCGCTTCCTTTTCCGCGTTTGTTAAGAGTTCGGCCCCTGAGGCCGCCTTTTCCTGCATATTGGCCCGCGAGGAACCCTGTGGCAAAGTTTCTCCGGTTTTGTTCTCCTTTCTTAACAACTCTGCGTCCCTGCTCTGCCTCAGCGCCCTGGCCGGCTCTTGCGGTCAGTCAGCACCATGGCGGACAGCTGTGAAGGAAAGCGGGGAAGCGCGCACTCCCCGCTCGGCCAGGCCTCCGCGCGGCCGCCGTGCGTCGCTCTTGCTGCCGGGGCCCGGCTGCGGCTGCCGTCGGGGGGGGGGGGCCGCTCCTCCGCGCCTGCGCCATGGAGGGCGACCCGCCCGCACGCCCGGAGCCCCCAAGCCGCCTCTGCCCGCGTCTCGGTTCTCGCGGGGTCCCCTGGTGGCCGCCGGGCGCCTTGGCCACAGAAACGGCTCCGGCTCCGACGCCCGGGCCGCGCGGGTTTTGCTGCGGTTTGGGGACGTGAAGCTCAGGGACGAGGCGGTCCAGCCCGGGCTGCAGCCCTGATCTCACCCCGGGGGCTGTGTGACAAACCCCCGGGACCCCCGAGGCCGCCCTCGCACCAGCCCCTCATCCGGCCTTGACCGAACCCATCTGGGAGCCGAGTGACAGAGACGCCGCCCCGCGTGCAGCACACGGGGCTCGGTGCTGACCCGCGAGCTCCCAGCCGGGACCGGCGAGCCCGGCAGAAGGGGGCAGCCCGAGAGGCCCCCCGCGCGGGTCGGCTCCGCGCTCGTGGCGGCCGTGCTGAGCTTGGACTCCAACCTGAGGGCGGTGGCGAGCGCCCGGGAGGGCTGGGCCGCAGGTCTGCGATTTGGTTTTTGCAGAAAACTGTATGGAGAGACTCAGAGGCAGTGGCCCCCAGCACCGGGACTGCGCGTGCGGCTCCCGCCTGGCTTCACTCACACCGCTGGCTGCGCCTCACCCCCTCGTGGTATTCTGATTTGCCAGAAGCTTCTGGTCACATCAAGCCCCGTGCGCCCGCGCCTTTTGCCTACGCCAGTTCCTGGAGATCAGGCGCCCCTGGCCGTCTCTCCGAGCCATGCCAGCTGGGACACCCTGATGTCCAGGCCCAGGCGGGGTCCTCTTGAGCTGGATCATCACTACCTCCTGGGCAACCACAGCATCAGCAGGATGCGGGCCCTGACGCCTCTCCATCTTCCTTTTCCTCTCACGTGGCACGAAGTCTTCCTCCTGCTGAGCAGCGCCTCCCACGCACCTCCCACAGTCGAGGCCCCCGGCCCTGTGCACCCCCAGGGGACCCCAAGACGCCGCCCCAACCTGCTTGAGAACAGGGTGGCAGAATTCGAAGTTTATAGATTGGTCGTTTAACCCCGGTGGCCTGTGCGACGGGGCTACATTATCACATTTGGAAGGAATCTTAGGCTCTTGTTTGCAAGGCGATTTGGCAGTAGCTTAAACTTGTACGCAGAGTAACACTTGTTGATTGATAGCCACGTTTATTACAGAGCCTGTCAGAATACTTACAGACTGAAAACGCTCACCGGGCCGAGGATTTAGCTCAGTGGTTCTGCGGCCTGTCTCCCAAGCACAAGGACCCGAGTTCGATCCCCGGTACCAAAAAAAAAAAAAAAAAAAAAATTAAAAAAGAAAGAAATGCCCATCAAC